GCGCCGTAGAATTCATGTCAGTCGTACGTTTTTTCAGGTATCGCTACGAGACCAGGCCTGTCACAAGAGACTATCGGTTGGATCTTGGAGGGAAAAAGGAATCAGACCTACTTCATTTATTTTTATTCCAACCTGTTGCCTTCGCGTTATTGTTGCCGTTACTAACACAACCAAGTCTGGCACGATCTTACATCTAATGTTACTACTAACATAAAACCCAGTGAGATGTCATTCGTTTGTGTTGTATCATGCTTTTGCTGTTGGATGTTGTTGACGGCTTCCTTTCGTGTTGGAACACTCTAGTAGTCCGGAACAATAATATTGGTTTACTAACTGACTTGTTCCTTCATATACACGATGTAACAACTAACGTTATTTTTGGTGACATAATGACTCACATGTATGATGGAAACATCTACATTTCCTATTATACAGCTAGCCTTGGTTCAATCCGGATTTTGCTCCGCTTTTTCTAGCGTAGCGGATCTAAATCCGGATGGTACCCAGGATCCCAGGCTATTATAAGGCGGGATAAAAGATGACCCCGGTAATTGTAGGGGGATATCAGTTACAAGTTGTGGCAAATTATCTATGTCAATACTAAACACACGTCTAACAACTTTTCTGGACGAGCAAAAACTTGCCTCCCCTAATAATGCCGGATTTACAAATCGATTTGGCACAAACGACGACTTTACAAGTATTTATTATGGATTCCCTGCTAAGCAAATACCTCTCCGAAAACAAACGCCATTACTTAATGTTTTGTCGATTTCAAAAAGGCATTTGACTCTGTTCGTTGAAAAAGTGTAAAAAAAATATTGTTCGGGTCCAAAATTTACATTGTGAAAAGACTAGATAAAGATGATAAGCTTAAGATTTGTCCACGCGCGTTCTGTTTTGGGTGCCAGATTATAAACAAAGCCTAGAAGTGCAAAGGACGTGCAATTTTGCAATTTCTACTGCAAGACTTTTATTCATTCGTAGAACTCATAAGTGATCATATCCGATTTTGTCTGTTTCTCATCATTTTAGCGATGTATCTGTTTCCAAACTAACTTGAAATGACATTACCTTGTACAGCAGTATTTTTGACCATATATAACGTAAACTACGCAAGCACTGTTTGGGACACTGCACCAGACCTGCACCAGAGCAGGATCTACAAAAACTGCAACGGATGCAGAACAGAGCCGGGAGGCTGCTGCTGGGAGCCCCGCACAGAACGCCGTCGGCTGAAGTACGGAATCGACTGGGCTGGAAGGACCCCACATCAGTTGCAGCTTTTAAAAACCGACTGCGTCGAGTCACTTAGAATGACTTTAATTTGTGAAATGAAACTTGGATGTCGATACTGATAGCAATAAGATATGAATCGAAATAATGTTTGAATTTTGTATGAACTTGTATTGTATGCATTTATATTGTATTTCTATGACTGATTATTGTAACTGAAACCGAAGCATTATACCCCTGACCCACCTCCCCTTGAACTCTTGAAAAGCGGCTCACGCCGAAGAGGTGTACTGTTACATACTGTACTTTTTCAGGGTTAAATAAGGGTTTAAAAAAGCAACTCCGTTGCAAAAGTGTAAAACTATATTTTCAGGGTCAAAATTTACATTTTAAATACTACAGTGTCTACCCCATAAATTTTTGAAGAGGCAACTAACAATATGCCCAAAATTCTATGGGAAGACGGCTGGAAATCTTTGTTCATCGATATGAGATTTTCGCCATACTTCTCTTAGCGGAATTGTAGCACTCCGGCCTTACCTTAGGGTGTCCGACGGCTCAAGAAATCGTCTAGAAACTGTAAATCCGGTCCAACAGCCTTGAGTATGGTTCGCAATGCATGGCGGTATAGCATTAGTTGTTTCGGCAGAACAATAGAAGTTCAACGGCGGCCATGTTTGTTCCCGTATAACAACAACATATAACATCACTATCTACGACTGCAACCATTTTAAAACATAAATACAAATATGTAATTATACAGGTTCAATTTAAGCATGTGCCACGAAGAAATCGCTGTAATCTCCAACTTGACACTGCATCCGGTGTTGTGTTATTGGCGGGGAAACCTGGCGTCCCCACCGCCGCAAATCTTTCGGCTCGTAAATCTGTAAAATTCATCAAAATTGAAAAAAAATAACTACCGAACACGGATATATAGTATCATGTGTAAATCACTTAGAGTAACATACTCAGTAATTTAGATTGAACGTAACTTGTTAGTGAAAGTTGTGATGGACTGTTAGTTGGTAACTGTTACTTTTAAAATCGGATGTTAGTAAACTGATGCTAACAGTTACATGTTGTAGCAAAAAGGAAATCAACGACACAGATAAGTCAAAAATGGAACAAAACTGAAAAAAGCAAACGTTATAATAACTAGAAACCAACGTAAAAATGAAAAACGGATTTTAAAAAATTATTCGGCGAACGGTGTTACCCAACACGGTCTTAACCTTGATCCTGACGACTTGAATCTGAAAATGAAAACAAGAATGACAAGCTTTTGCCTTACACTACCTAAATCTGAAAGAGAAATTAAAGCTGTCTGATTTCGTTATATGAATCACCAAAGTCGTGTAGACTACTACTGTAACACTCGGGTCTCGCGCCAAGCTGATATACTATAATGCATGACGGGATAGCGTCATTTTGTTTATGGTCGCCATCTTTTCAGCGTCCCGGCCGGACAAGTATGAAAATAACTGTTGATGCATTACTAGTACATCGTTGCATTGTAACCAGGTTGGGCCTGGGCACGTTGTGAGGACGCATGATTTGTTTTTACTGTTCCCCGGATATCAGCAAGACTAAACTTACGGTCTTTTATCGGTACAAAAAGAATCGTTATTCCAACGAGGCTATAACGTCCTTGCAAAAGGAAATCAGTGCTACAGAACAAAGTACGCAACAAAGTACGCGTACGAGGACTAACAAAACTCGAAACGCAAACGGTATGATTAAGAAACCCCTAGCCTCAGCTTGCTGGAAATGTATATATTTCAAGGAAAATATGAGTAAATGGCAACCTACAACACATACGCAGGGATTGAATCTGAAATACCGAACAAGGTTTTTATTTTTGCTACAACCGTAACACTCTAGCGTCATTATAATGCATGACGGGATAGTGTCGTTTTGTTTATGTCCGCCATATTTTTCTACCCCGGTACTAGTTCTAGCGTCCTGACTATTACATGTACATGTATGAGAATAGGGGAATAGCCGTAAAGTCTAAGCCGCTCGCTAAGTCATTTGTATAGCGTGAGTTTGACACACATCATTATGTTTTAATTTGAGGACGAACATTTTGTGTTCGTTGTCGAGGAGCCGGTTGTCGTTAGCGTTATCAACTACGCTATGAACAGCACTGTTCGTATAAGACTTACACGTAATTGCGATTGTGTCTTCTTCGGACATTTTTTTGTACCGTAGTATGACAGGCTTTTTATGTGTGTGTGTTCTACCGAGTTTCAAGACTATTATTACAGCACAGAAATGCCCATAGAAGACGCACTCGTGATTACGTCGATCACTCGACGTTTTTAGAATTTTGCTTCAAACCAAGCTAGGGGCGTTGTTTTGATTTCAGCCGGTTCAATCAAAAATTGGTTGCTCCTGTAGTACAACTGGTGAATTTCCCGTGCGACAAATGTCGACCAAAATGGTCCAATTCCCGTTTTGTGTGGAGAAGTTCCCGTCTGTATATCGGCCGTGATGTTCCCGTACGGCGTCCGCGGACGGACATTATTTGTCACTGCTGGTGAATTTCCCGTACGCGAAATGTCCACTAAAATGGTCCAATTCCCGTTCGTGTAATATGGTGACATTCCCGTCCGTATATCGGCCCCAAAACACGTGCGCGCACGGTCAGCCCTGAGTGGTGAAGTTCCCGTACGGGACTTAGTCTTTCTAGGTGGAGAGATTCCCGTATTGTGGGAAATTCTCAACCTCCGTGGCAGCCCTGAGTGGTGAAGTTCCCGTGCGGGACTCGGCACTGCTAGGTGGAGAGATTCCCGTAAGCGGGAATCTCTCCCCCTCCGTGGCACAGTTCCCGCACGGGAAACTCTCCTATTCCCGTGACCCAGCTTAGCTCTACAGAGGGCATCTAGATGTGATGGAATTTGTTAACTCGGGATATCATATTATTTTAGTTCCTAAATCATCAATTGATAGCTAAGGTACCTGATCTATTGAAGTCTTCTGCTGCACAGTTGCATCCGGGGCCCTCTTGGGAGCAGGTACAGTGTTCTAGGTAGTTAAACATGAAACAGGACACTTTTGGTTTTACAAAACCTCTCTTTTTTAAACCTTGGTGATCATACACATTGTACTGGTTGATGCATGAATTATTACCATATCATCTACTGTATGTCCATCAGCATAAATGTCTGCTTCCTGGCTTAGACTACTTCTCCTTGACTATTTTAACAAGTGCTTTCTTTTTACAAGGATAAAGTTCTCAAACATGCCACTTGGTTGCCACCAGTGTAATTCAACATGATCACTGACTGTCTCCTTTACATTGTGGATATGTTTAATGCCTTCTGTTATTACCTTATAGCTAGCCTAGCATGATAGATGAAGCAACTTATGTACACTCCATGACATGTACCTTGGCCTTGTCAGAAACTCTCTTGCCGTTGAATCCACCAGCACCGACAACAAACGTGGAGAACTGGTTATACGCTACACGATCCCCCTGTTCATCTGTGGTAGTCACTGTAAATATGATGTAGGGGCACAAAAACGATAATGTCTGATGTAATTGTAAAGTACTGTAAATCTTGAAAAGATGTGTGTTTCCAATATAGGACTACTGTATTACAGTTAACCTAAAAAAACTGCAGAAATTTCCCATCCACTAGCACTTATCATATACATGTACATGTACAAATAAAATGCACGGGTATGGCTATAGTAGTAGTATTTGTTAACTGAACACTCACCCTCCACAAGGATGAGCATGCCGGATCCCTTGTCCAGAATGTCCACAATCTTAGCCTGGTTCTTCAACGTGGCTGGAAATACAGCGAAACATGAATGGCTGATACACAACAGATACTACAGTAATGACTTGTGTAAAGAAGAGCAACAAGCATTGTTTTTGTCTTTTTCATTTATATATCTGAAACTAGAAAAGGGCACTGCCTTACCCTTGGTTGGTAGAGGCTTGTAGAGTTCCAGGTACTGCTCTCCATGTAGGACCTGCAAGGGGGCATAACATATGATCACTTGTCAGTTCTCCAACTACGGGCGGTTCCTAAGTACAGATCTGAAGCTATACTGTACAACAGTCCTTCTCACCTTGGTAAAGTCAATCTTGAGACCAGGATTTCCCCTGAAGGCCCCACCCGAGCTGTTAAAGGCAGTGATGACACCGTACGTTGGGAGGGTGCAGAAGTCCTCGTGAAGTTCAAACAGGAACTTGAGGTGGTCGGACTCCTGGGTTGACATGCCCGCTGAAACACAGGGAGAGAACAGCAATTTTTCATCGTCATCAGCTATTATATTATGTCATCTTAAGTGGATAGAACTGTAGTACAATTATGTATTGGATTCATGCATCATGTTGCAATAATGTTCCAAATCTACATACATGTGTGCTTCTTGGTCTATGCCTTTGATCTTAAATTCTAAATTTCTAAAAAAATCTACCAAATAAAACATGGCTGTACCTCCAAGTGCATACAGTATGACATCCCTGTGATCATAGGTGAAGAGACTTGGCTCTGGTGTATGTTTCAAAGCTGCCTCCTGTGCATGGGAAAGTACAAAAACATCTCAACATCTCCAGATAACATCACAGGTGTACAACATGGACTGCCAATATAAACACACAAAAAAACATGCAAATGTTCATACAATAGAAACATTGCCATATTTGAATAGGATCAATTGAGCTACTGACCACATCTCTTGTGGTGGTTGTTCCTGCAGTGTCGTTCCTGCGGACTGATGTAATACCTGCCCGCTGCATGCCTGCCATTATGTCCTTCACGGTATCTGTACAGGTGGAAAATGATATGACACAGAATGCATCAGAACCTGCACAAACATGTACATCCAGGCAACAGGAACAAAATCAATTTTCATGTGAAATGTGTTTTACATAGGGATGTTGCAGTGGTGTGGCTAACACAAAAATATTGCTGTCTTTGAACTATGTTTTCCCACTTAATGACTTTGAATGGGGACATAGGCACTGCAATAGATGTTGAAACAAATAAACATAAATACATGTACCATGCAGTAACTGGTGTTAATTCCACATGCAGTCAGTTCAAAAGTCATTTCTTCCCTTGGTAGTAGTGGTTCAACTTATTCAAAATGAGTGAACTAAACATTTGCATCACCCCTCACTCTGCTGTAGCAATTAAAAATCAACAGCCAGAAATAATTGGCCAGAACACATTGTGATTATGATTGTGGTGAAACAGTATTACTGGTATAATAAAATGTTGTCTGAATTAAGGGTCAAAGATCCATCTATGCCTGACAACCAACCTGCTCCACTTCTTGGATTGCTTGTCTTTGAAAAGTCAACCACTTCAGCCCAGTGGTCCCGTACTGGAAGAAGAAGAATGCACAGTTTCATGTATTAATAAGTACATAAAGATAACCAACCTTGTGTTGACTCTGGGTACTGAGGATGCCTGAAGTCTGTAACTTCAAACCACCTGTCACGCACTGTTATCAGGGGAAAAGAAATGTAGAAACTTAACTGATAGTCTACTTTACCGGAAACTTCGTGTACATTTGCAAAGCTCTATAAAAAGAAGCACAAGTACATGTTGTAGACAGCCACATCCAGTAGTTTGTGACAGCCTTAAAAGAATGATATCATTTCTGTTCAAAGCAGTTGTAGCTTATGTTGACTGACTAGAATAATCATACCTGAGTTCTATCTGATGACCATAAACTAGTAGACAGCTGTTTGAATTTGATTATGATTAACCATGACATTAATTCTGTATACATGTACATTGTACATACCATCCTCTGGAGTCATGATCTTGTCAGGCCTGCCTACCATGGCACCCTGGGTCCTCTGCCATCTCACTGTAGTGCACAAACACAAATTTATGAAAACATGAAATCACCTAGAAGTGTTTCAATGACCTAGGAGTGTTTCCCTTCCTTTTTGGACAGTAAGTGGCTTGAACCCTTGCCAGATCATAGTAAAGACTTTTACTTTCTCTGCTTACATGTAGAACACAGCCCTTATGAGATGATTGAGGGAGTTGAACACACTCAACTACACCAGTACCTACTGTAGTAGCCCTGTGTTTGGCCACAGGTTATAGAAACGGAAATTAGCACCATTTCACATCAATTCACATTACAGTGAAAAGTGTTGGAAGGAGAAATTAACTAATACCGGTACATGCAGTTGGCCATGCAGTTTGAAAAATGGTAAGGTGACGTACATTTTGCCATCCACCCCCCTCCGACTTCAAACAGTCCCCCTGACTCCTGACAGCTCTCATGGCACAGGTACATCACTAGTGGGGCGATGTAGCTGGGGTTCAGCATGTCCAGCACCTCTGCAGGGAAAATACATGGCATAATCAAAACTTTCCTTTTCTAGGTGATCAGAATAAAAGGAATTAATCCTGGAAAACAAGCTCCATCATTTCATGCATTACATTGAAAATACAAGAATCATATTTATGTGATTGCATGCGCCATTCTTTCATCATAGAAAATTGTATCAACCAGAAATTGCTTGTACAATGTATATTGAAGACATTATAACAGTAATACAATAGGACATATTGGTACAGTGCAAAAAAATCAAATATGTCCAAATGATTCCAGCTTCAGTACATTCTGAAAAGTTTGGGATATATGCAGTAATACTTGTATATAGCCTTAGCATGCTTGTTGGCCTGACAATAGTTATAACATTATAAAACATGATTACCCTGTGGCAAAACAGTAGCTGTCATCCGTGAGCCAGCCTGTGGTGCGATGGTGTTGACAGCAATGTTGTACTTCTTCCCTTCCCATCTCAGAGTGTTGGCAAGTCCAAGGAGGCCAAGCTTAGCTGTCAAATGTAAAAAGTGTTGTACATAAACCTTTGGCCAAACTTGTTGATTACCAGATGGTTGCCAAATTTTTGTATTGCCAGAAAATCAAGCTTATGCAACATCATGTGATAAAATCCTGTTGAGACTACAACCACATTCCCTATTCCTGAGTGTTGACTTACCAGCACTGTAGTTGGCTTGACCAAAGTTACCATAAATACCAGAGCTGGAGGTTGTCATGATAATCCTGCCACAAAATAAACAAACAAAAACAAACATCTGATTATATCTCCTATCTGAAATACAGTAACGTTACTACAGTCTATTTACATTTACTGGTACATTTGTTACAAAACTAAATGTACATGTAGCTATTTTGTAACAGCTCACTGTATTTACCCTACATTTCACACCCTTGTTAGACAGGCAAGTACACTTTTTGAACAACTTTTAGTTGGACGGTTGGTTTGTAAATTTGATATTTGAATAATGAGACCATAGTTTGTTACCTGCCGAATTTCTGTTTCTTCATGTGTTCCCAGGCAGCCCTGGTCACCATGAAGGACCCTCTCAGGTGAACTCTGTGGATCAAGTCTGGGGAGGACAGCAGAGTTAATGTTACGGTAATGCATCTACTTGTACAGGTTACAGTTGCCAAAGTTCTGAAAATGACTCTTTTATATTCCTGTCCTGAAATATGGCAAACTTACCCCAGTCTGTATCACTGATCCTTGCAAATGACTTGTCACGAAGAATGCTGTGGAAAACAAGAATATTATCAGCTGTAACTAGCCAACATAGTGTTACATATGGAATTTATACCTGTCCACTCTTTTCGATACCTGTAAATATCTGACCTGCTTTTTAAATTCAAGGTAAACTGGGAACATCTAATGCTGTATAAGAAGAGAGCTTTACAAAATTAAGCCACAAAATTGTCTTCTAGATGACTCATAACGAGAGCAAAAGTTTCACTCACCCAGCATTGTTGATCACTACATCTGTAATAAGACAAGGAAGAAGAGAATTGGTTGTAAGATGAGCAGAATTGTAGATGCACATGAATTTTTTCTCATATTCTATGCAGAGAATGAAAAACAAAATAGATCTAATCTCTAAAGACATGTGTGCAAGGTTTGCAATTGAACAAAGCTGTATATATATGATTATCACAATAAATAAATCCTTACCAATTCTGCCAAAGTGGTCCAGGGCAGTCTGCACAACCTTGGCTCCATCCTCCACCGAGTCTACGGAAACAACAATATCTTACAACTGTCTTACTGACAAAAGTTTTCTTATTTACCCTTTAGCAATTACCTTCCGGTCCATTTATGTCTATGTTCAGAAAAAAATTCTAAAGCAAGACATCTCTAGCCTGGTACCCATACCATCAGAAGTTCCCATCTGGTATCTCTATGGTGCTTGAATGTTGCTTGGCCACCCAGGCCCATTACCACATACTTAACTTACAGGACTGCAGTAACTGGACAGGCTGGCTGGAAAAAATAGACTGCCAGAAAAAGGGGTATGATTGGTAGGACTGGGGCTGGTATAAGACCCCCCTGCCAGCCTGTGGGAATGTTTACCAGGCTAGCCATCTCATGAAGTAACATTGCAGCAGTTCTCCTCACCATAGTTGGCCACGGCCTTCCCTCCCTTGGCCTTGATCTCCTCAACCACCAGGTCAGCTGGGCGCGAACTCGCCCCCTCCCCTGTGAAGCTTCCTCCTAGGTCATTTACTGTCAGAAAAAACAACACTGACCTAAACAAATTCTAAAAGAATCTAGACGTACATGTGTAGAGAAAAATGAGCGCAGGAATTGCAGCGTGGGCAAATACAAAAAAAACACAGTATGGAAGATAGGAAAAAAAATCTTCATCATACATTGTACATATACCAGATGAAACGAGGTAGGTGTAAAAATGAGACTCACCAACAACAGAAGCACCCCTCTCTGCAAAGGCCAGAGTCATAATCTCTGCCAATGCCTGTATAGAAATAAAAGGTCAAATATTAACATACATGTAATGCTACATATAAAAGTTAGGCCTCATTTATGTTAGATGAGATGAATATACATTGTATTCAAGTTCTTCTGAACCAGTTTCATTCTCAAAGATATGTATGATTAAACTTGAGTTTGTGTATGGTAGTGCCCAGGTTTTTTGCATTCATACCAAGCACTTTTCTATACATTGATATAGTGCCAAGCCACAAAAATGACATTGTTTTGCTGGTAATACAATCCATTATATTCTGCACTCTAGTCTTGCAGAAGAATGACTGTTACATAAAGGGCAAAGGTTTCATGCCCTTAAGGTCACTGACCTTAAGACCATTCACCACATTACTCTTAGAAAACTTTTTTTTAAAGCAGTGAATGCAGAAGACACAAAACACATATCATTTCTTGCAACATATTTCCACCATGTTTGGCTGTTGAGTGAACATTCAAGATTTGTTGCCCTTAAGGTCGTTGACCTTTCCTGTGGTCTTTTGCCATCAGGCTTGAACAATAATGTCAAAAGCAGCCAATACAGTCACAAAGCACAAATCATCCCTTTATTTCTTTTGCAACAAAAAATACATCTTTGGCAGATGAATGAACATTCACGGTGTTGTTCTTAACTTGCAAGGACTTCCGAGGTTCCTCTAGGAGACCCGCCCACCTCAACAAAATCTGCAACCGGATTACACCGAGATTTTCTCACGTGTCTAATATTTCATGCAAATGGTACATAGAAACACTGAGTCCACGAAAACTAAGGGATGGAAAGGACGAAAGGAAAACGCCCAGTTTTAGTCCTATTTAAGTAACTTAGCAGTCCAGACTCCATCAACCTACAACTAGTAAGTGAACTTTGGTCCAACTTTATCAGTGGTCGATGGGTCAAGCGTCTCCACGCCTCTTTTCTATGCCCGAATCGTTACTATAACCACGCCATCGGCTCAACTTGAAGTTGTGTTTATCTTTTATCATCAGATATAGTAAAAAATCCTTGATATCTCTGACTTACCGTTCCCGGCGCCCGTGATGAGGACAACTCGACCATCAAAACGCAGCTGACCCGCCATGATGGCTGATACCAAAGAAAGAAGGGGTGGTTTAATGAATGAGTCATTCCTAAAATCAGAATTCAAAATAGCAAACAGCCAAATCAACTACTCTCACGAACCATTGGTATAATTTGCCTAAAATAACGCTACCTATAAGGTTGATTTAAGCTTCTGAAAATTTCTCTTCTCTAAATAATAAATATGAAGAGCACCTTTACATTTTGGTACAGTCTGGAAGAGGTCAGAGTTGATCCATGCTTTTCCAGCTTTTGTCCCAGTGCAGTTTCGTTTTATCCCACTTATTTTGAACACCGTGCGCCATGTAAGTAATATTAGCTCCGTGCCATGGAATTGAATTAGTCTTAATGATTTGTTCTTGAAATTTTTGTTGATGTATGTACTTAGCATGGCGGTCTAATATGAATTTTCTCTACTAGTACAAGTAGTAACGTATGTGTGAGTGTGTGTGTGGGGGGGGGGGCATAAACAGTGGCTAAGTTGGCAAAGAAATAAATTATTATTTTGGGCAAACTTTTATTTTGTACCACATTTTGTGTGCTATATTCCAGGCAGCATGTTCCAGTCTTTCTTGCACAGCCAGAGCATGTCTCTATCGCTTGTTTTTGTGTTTTAATTAAAATTATCTTTCACGACTCTGTTTCCAGACGTCATGTCCAGAAAACAGACACCTAGCGACTTCCTGAAGCAGATCATAGGCAGGCCTGTGGTAGTCAAGCTCAACTCGGGGGTTGATTACAGAGGTACATATGTGGGCCTTGTCCCTTTGAGTGCAATATATGCATACTTGGCACTAGTACATGTATATTATACTACTAAATCAGTAAATACACACAGACTTTATACTACAGAGGCTTTTCATTGACATGACTCTACTCTACTCATGATAAATGACATCATAAATTAATAGAATAATTCTAATTAGAATACCAAGCAGCAGCATTCCGTTCAAAATTTTTATAATAAAATTTAGTCTCGTGTGTGACATACTCTGTAATCCAACATGGCACAAATGTGGTCTTTTGAGAAGCCTGTATTCCTATTACTACTGCGGACAAAAGTTGACAAAACCATTGAACTCAACTTACACTACATTTTCATTTCTAATCCCCATAGTGATAATCGTTATCTTGACATTTTGATCATGTTTCATATCAATGCAGGAGTCCTGGCTTGTTTGGACGGCTACATGAACATCGCACTGGAGCAAACTGAGGAGTATGTCAATGGGCAGCTGAAAAACAAATATGGGGATGCCTTCATCAGAGGTAACAATGGTAGGTACAGAAAGTTTACTCAACTGTGACCAGTAGTAAATTCTAATGTTCTAAGTAGTAATGTTTAAAGAAATGAAAACCCTTTAAGAAATAAACTTTCAAGAGTTTGGAAAGCTCTTCAAAATCAAAGTAAATTGTTGAGCAGTACTTTTTTGGACAAGGAATATTGACTGAGTAGCATAAACAAACAAACATTTATTGGAAAGTAGTGTTGAAATCATGTAGTAGTATCCATGATATAAAATTGGTAAGATGAACAAACAACTGACAGATTTTTGCCATGTTAACTCCTTTTTTTCTTGTTTCAGTCCTCTACATCAGCACACAGAAAGCTGTAAGACGTGCATAGTTCCAGTGATGGATGTTTGCAGAGACCTGTTTTATTTTTATATACTGCAGTGTTCTTGTCTACGATGTAGTTCTGCACTTTTTGTTTGTTTTTGCTAATAAGTCTGGCTGATCATGACAAGGATTGAGAAGATAATCCTATCAAAGCAAGCAAGAGTTAACTTGAACTTTAGATACCATTTTGTTGGTTATTGTTTCTAAGATTACTTTTGAGCAAACTGTATTGAGTTATTGAGATATGAATAAAACCTGGGAGTGGGACTATGAAGATGTTATTACTTGTAGACCTACACATAGTAAAATCATGCAGTCCTATTTTTTTATGTATTGTACGAAGGAGGTCTCCCTCATACCTTTATTGTACTATTGATGGTACAGAACAAAAACACTTCTTCATGATGATTCTGAACATTAGGTTTTGCTATTATGCAAGAATAAATGTGGCATTATTTTACTTCAGTTTTCTCCCTTAGTATCTCTTGAATATGTTTACCTGCACCATTCCTATATGTGATTTATAGCTGAAATAAATCATATTTCACACGATAAACAGGATAATGAGTGAGTGTGAGTGACTCCCTTAATTGTAACTTTTCTGCTTAAGCTAAGAGACAGACATCATCAACATTAGAGAAAAAAAATTGTCTGAAAAAGCAACATACAGGAACAGTTTATTGTGCAACTTATTTATGCAAAGCATTAAAGTAAATTCCAAAAGAAATGCCAGTACTGTAGATAGTAAAAGCCACCAGTAGCTTAAGACTATATCTTATCAGGCCAAATAACAAATGACATCAACCATGTCAACTTGAGTATTTGAGATTTATGTCAGATTCTGCAAGATTACGCAGTTATAGGGAGTAGCTCGTCACTTCCAGCTTCAAGTCTGGGAATACCCATGACTTCCTTTCCACGAATCCTCAAGTTTGTGGACTTGACCTTGTAGTTATTCTGCTTGGCTGGATCAGCCACCAGACAGAAGCACTGTTCAAAGACTCCCAAGCAGTTCTCCTGACGATGCACCGTACCACAAACCAAGACTGCCACCAAGCCGTGCGGGTCTTTCTTTCCCTTCACCCCATCAGCAGCTATGTTAGGATTGAATACTAGTTGGTCATCCTTAACGATGGCTAGGAGTCTTTGGCTGACCAGTTGGGCCCCCTGGTGCTGTTCCTGGTGCAGGTCAGGGGTGTGGTACTCCATCCTGAGCTGGGAGTCGGCCCAGAAGTGCTGAGGACCCCACCCTTCTGCAGGTGGACTGGTCCTCAAGGGATGATGGGAGTTAAGAAGGTTGAAAAACCAGGTACAGAACTGCTCTGCTAGCTGCTGAATCTCATCTTTAGGCTTCACAGGTACTCGTATGTCCTCCTGAAATCAAATCAAGTACATGTATACTGGTATTAATACATACATAGATACATACATGTATGTATGTATGTGATTTCAAATTATAAAAATCACAGTGTAGCTACACGTAACATTACCTCCTCCTCCCATTGCACCTTTGTGGCGACCTCAATCCCCCAGAACTGCAGAACTCTCTGGATCAGGTCTACCTTTGCTGCAGTAGGTGTGATGATAACATTTTTCCCAGCGAGGTACTGGAAAAGTAAGTCTCTCTTAATCTTCCTCCTCCTCAGGAGTTGTTCTGCTGACTCGGAGTATGACACGATGGCACGGACAGCCTCTGCGGAGGGAGGGTAGAACATGTGTGGAACAGTTATATGTCACTGTTACCAGTAGCATAATATATATAAAATATAAATATGCCAGGCACTGATTTGCGCAAATTTTTAGTCAGTTAGTGACACTTATTTCTATCAAGGGATTAAACCTCCTTGGAAGAAGTAATGTTTATAACATTCACATCCACAAAAATGAAATTCACAAAAACTCTTAACATATTTCACAGAGGTATGATTCCTTCGCTTTCTTTATCTTAGAGGCATGATGTCAAATTGAGGGGAGGGGCAGAAGCAATTGTCACTTTTTTATATAATGGAGAAACAGCGGGACCATAGTAGTACATAATATACCCGGAAGTGTGGTGTGGGGAGGGCGCCTTAGAAGTAAGATACCAGTCTTACCATTTCGGCTCCGCACATCTATCGCCTTGTTCGTCACCGTGTCCTTCAGTGACAATAGCTGGTCTTGAGGGATCAGCTGTAACAGTTCTGCACAGCACCGCTTCTCCTTGTCAGACAGCATATTGTCATCAGTGGGAGGGACAAAACACTGCAAGCTCTGAAACTGGGAAAGGTCAAAGGTCAGGAGGGAGGGCGAAACCAATATTACAGGCTGTCAGCGGGCGCATTTTACTCCGTGAAGGTCACTGACCTCCCTGACGAAATATGTACCTTGGTATATGCATGCCGTCTGCGTGCGAGATGATGCACGTTGTTTTCTTTACACCGTAGCAGTTTTTATAGGTAATGTAATATTTCACCACAACTTGAACACCCCCATCAGTGAGCTTTGTACGGTGATGACTGTGTTGAGATGAACTTTTAGTTTTACCAAGTTATTTCGCGCAAATTCCAGTTTCACCTGTTAAGGTTCAACAGGCCTCTATAAACTACTAATATCTGGTTCCAATGCACTGATCCAGTTTACAAATATTTTATGTTGCATTTGTTTTATTTTGTTGCAATGACTCTCAAAAATGTGTCATCCTTTGCATTGCACAAATGCTTTATTATTAATATTGCTTGTCTTATGCCTGAAAAGAGACGCGTAAAAACATATTGTTTCCTTAAGTATATGCGAAAATGACGTCATCCGTAGTCAGGGCTGCAACTGAATAGCCGTGCCAGCCCGGCTTTGTCTGTATCATTTGGACGGGATGTTCGTCAGACTCCCGAGTTTGAATTCCATTGATACTATCAGTAGGAAAAGTCACTGCCTTTCTCAGTTATGACCACATTTTGGATCCCAGCCCTGTGTCTATTAGGCGCAAACTTTCTACTCAACGGCTACCTAGCAAATTCAGCCGCTGGCAACACTGGTAGGTGGATTTATGGAATATTGACATGTGTAGTTCATACCGGAATGTGCCAATGGATTTCACTTTATTTGAAACAAAAACGGACATAAATGTTTACGGGTACATAGGCTTAACGTTTTATGGTTAGGGGTTGTTGATTGGATGGTCAGTGTGCACATGTGGAACAACTTCGGTCAAAATCTTAACGTTATGATCAGATAAACGATGCAAATTGTATGCGTATATGGGCCTACGCCCAAGCAATAAGATCCTTGACCTAAGATACTTCAGATGAGGAAATAATGTGAAAAATTCCCTGCTTTCACAGAACAATTCTACACCAAGAAGCCTTTTTGAGGCTTTTGTTGGTATAGTACCTGGCGAGATTAACTGTTTGCAAATTTCATGAGCGTCTTTCGTTCCCTATGCATAAAAGGCCTTTCAAACTGATCCTAATGAAAACACACGGCTTGCAATCTAACTAGGCTAAAGCGGGTTATTGCGTTCTATTGATGTTTTACGTATGTGCTGCTAGATCGACTTAAGAAATAAATGTTCTCCATGCAATCAAATGCTTATCCGATGAATTGAAACACACCTTCTGAAAGTGTATGGTGAAATGTATATCCAAGGTGGTTCAATGAGACACATATCGGTATACCAAATTTAAAAGTGACAGTATCTGGTGGTCATTTGCAAAGGAATCTTCATCCCTGACTAGCTTTCGTCTGACTATAGCGTGATGCAACCAGAAAGATTAAAGCTACATAACTAGAGAACAAAGGAAAAATTTTGGATCATACCTCTGTTGATCTGAGAATTGCGAACTTTTCAACAGAAGTGTCCTGATCGATACTATTGAAAGCATCAAATGTTGGTAGAAATGCTTCGCACGGGGGTTACTAATGAAAAACGCTTTGTGCATCTGTATCGTTATTCCGAATTTTGTTGTATTACGGCATCAATGGTCTTTTTCACAAAATGTTGGAATTGTTGGTCAGGAGCCCGTGACAACAAGGGTACGGAGTTTATTCTGACGTTCACGGAGAACCTGCAGCGGGACCAGCACGATCCCAAACTGCAGGTGGCGGGAACGACCCAGACTCCCGCTACAGTCACCGTGGAGGTCCCGGGTGCCGCGTTCACCACCACATTCAACATCGGCTACGGAGAGGTGAGCCTCTGGCAAACTGACTGTTTTCATATATAGTTGCTTGTGCTTGTTGGTCTATTGGCTGGGTCGCTAACCTATATCCTACGGCTGCATAATGCCAAGCAACCGAAATCTGCTGAATCCAGGGAGAAAGAGTTGCCGGACTTGGTAGTCTTGGCAACTTGGAGTTCCTGGGTTGAAAACATAAGACAGTATGCTGAATTGCTCCCACTAATGCTTGTTTGTTGTTTTGTTTTTCAGGTAAACACAGTTGATTTGCCTCGCGTTGCCGTAGAGCTGCGCGGTAGCGGAGTACAAAACACCGGCGTCCACGTCACCGCCTCCCGAAAGATCGTTGTTTACGGCGTCTTTGTTGAGCAGGCGACTTCTGACGCCTTCCTGGCCCTTCCCACCGACGTACTGGGCACGGAGTACTTCGTGTCCTGCTTCACTCCATCCGGCGGCTACCCTACTCAGGTCGGCGTGGTCGGGACCGAGAATGGGACGTCTGTCAGTATTGTACTGAAGGGGGACGTGACGTTCGACGGACAGACGTACACGGCCGGACAGACCATCACCGTCATCCTCAACCGGCTGCAGAGTCTACAAGTACAGAGCGATGCGGACCTCACAGGTCAGTATAGCCTGGTAACCACACCATCGGGAGCTCCCCGGTAGTGCTACGACGCCGCTCAGGCCTTAAAACCGAACGCCTGGGATTTTTACGATTTCAATGAGCTTGCGCCACGGTAGGGCAGCAATCAGAAAGGCCGACCGGAAATATATGCTGTCAAAAAGAAAGACCTGAGTAGGACTAGGGCCAGTCAACACTCCTGTGCAAGTCCGTAGATATATTAATACAAGTTCGTAGAGATATCAAAATCCAGTGCACGCGATGGTGCAGTCATGTCTAGTCTGGATTGCGATGATAAATGAAGGGATATAACTTTTGCTTATATTCAAATGCTGTCACGCATACCTTACCATACTTGTACAGGGTCCCATGTCACGTCCGACAAGAGCGTCGCGGTCCTCAGCGGAAACTACTTCGCCACCATTGGGAATGGAGGGTCCGGATCAGGGGACTACATCGTGGAGATGATCCCACCTGTGGACACCTGGGGGAGGGAGTTCGTCACCGTGCCGCTCAAACAGAGGACGGCCGGCGATGTCTTCAGGGTCATCGCTGCTAGAAATAATACACAGGTTAGGGTCAGTTATTTGGGAAACAATTGTTGAAAATGTGAACTGACATAACCCTTAACTGCTTTCTTGTTCTATATCTGTCTTGTTCTGTATCTCTCGGCCAATATACTGTACAAGAACAATATGTCTGTCGCTCTCCAGGTCGACGCCACGGGACAAGCCACGACCACCCTCCACGTCGGGGATTTCTGGGGATTCGAGGCCGGTTCGGACGCCTTCCTTCATGTCCGTGCTACTGAGCCCGTGATGCTCATGCAATATAGGTGCGAACGTATACACGTCTCCTTTTTCTTTACACATATGTGTGCGAATTCGATGTCAATTCGATTGCTGGACATAGCTCTAGACCTCTCTCAACTTAAAAGATACAGGCTTTTACTTTGCTCATCTGGTGATAACGGTTAGTTATATCCAATAGAAACATCGATATATGTCATGAAAAACAAAATTAACAAGAATTCTGAGATTTCATACCTCCATGAAATATGTAGAGTTTATGTAATGTTTTGTTTCATTGAATATGGATTTGATATAATGTAGTTTAATTTATGGTGTTCTAAACTCAACTTACAATATTTTCCTTGTCAAACTCCTATCCTTTGGAAATATTTCACTTAAACATCCTCATTAATCATGCAAAATGCCTCTATATTAACATAATATATGCATAGTGTTGTTAACATTTAAGTAACCTACATATGTCACAAGGTACATAATTGCCATCATTCCCCAGAAGTCAATTTTCGCAATAATTATGCAAATTAGGTGTTCATTTGCATAATCGGTATCTGTTGACGTTCTATCTGCCATAGATTACATATATTACATGTATGAAAGTACTATAATGTAATCATAGAATTTCCTCATTAATTATGCAAATAAGGTCCTCATTTGCATAATTTGCATTTAATCGTGTACATCTCTCTCTCAGCTACCTACTTACCAAAATGATGAAAATATGTTGTTCCTATCTGGACTTATTGGCTTTTAAAGATTTCGCCCGAAAGTCCCCTGCAGTTCCAGAACAAGCTGGTAGGGGGACCAAACCCACACCACTTATTTCTGACAGGAAAAGCTATCTACCACTAAAAAGTCAAGACCATAGCATGTTCAGGACAAAAGATACAAAAACCGGAAGTTCTGCTGCAGTACCAAGGTCATCCACCAGGAGGCCCATATTTGACCTTGACCTTTGTCTTCCTAAGACTTACCAACATACCAAATATCATCACAATCCATAAAGGCGTTCTGAAGTTATGATGACCGCAAAGTTGCGGAAACACACAGACAGACACACAGACAGACACACAGACACACAGACAGACACGCCAAAAACAATACCTCCATTTTTCATGGAGGTAATAATTTAAAAATAACTGGATAAAATATAATGAAGGCTCGTCTGTGTTGGTAGTTTAAACTGGGTAAGTTGTCTGAAGAGTCAGATGTTTCAGATTCCATTCACCTTCTTTCATCAGTGACCGAGAATAAGTCTTAAGAGAAGCGCAGACTGTGTAATTGAATATCTGAAATGATATGTAAACGAGTTGCTAAGGAAAATGGCCTGATTTGTCCACCTGCCGCCCGCAGTAAGACGGCTTCTGCCGACAGCACAAAGACGGACCCCTTCATGCTGCTGATCCCGCCTCTGCAGCAGTACGCAGCCGACTACACCTTCGCCACTGCTCAGCTGATACATAGACCCGACCAAGTGACTCACCATATCAACATTGCAATAAAGGTAACAAAATTAAAACAATCCAAGTTCAGTTTTAGATCATAATTGACTTTGACGATAGCGACTGCATTGCTTCGGAATGTCGTTTTAGGTACTTTTAGGTGCTTAGAATATTTGTTGATATCCAACAAACAATCCACTTCCTCGGTTGTAGAGTTCTGAGAAGGATGGACTTCGTCTGGACGGCAGTGCTCTATCCTCCAGTGTTACGTGGACGGCCATTCCAGGGACAGACCTAGCAGGGACCCACCTGGACATCCCTGACGGCACGCACACGTTAGTCCACACCTCGCCCGTCGTCACCTTCGGGGTCTCCGTGTACGGGTTCTGCAGCGCCGAGTCGTACGGCTTCCCGGCGGGGCTCCGGATGGCGCCGATCGCCCTGCCCTGCAGCCCCACCCCCACCGTTCCCGGGGACGGGGTCGACAACGACTGCGACGGGAGGATTGATGAGGACCTGCTGGACGGACAGGACCACGATGGCGACGGCGACGTCGACGAAGATCTCGCAGCAGGTTCTAGTTATTATCATCGTGAAATTTTAACGCAAATTTTTCCGGACTGTGTGACCCAAATACCGTGTTGCTATTCGTTATTGTACTTGCATTTGTCATTGTTAGTTTGATATCTTATTAGGTAGGTTAGGTATAATGTAGTTGAGCCTTGAGGGAAGAAATACCAAGTAGGATGTGCATTCAAAATCATCAGCGCAACATTCAAATGATCATATGGCATTTTCCTCAGTGTTGCCGTCCACAAGTATGAGACTTACTACGTGCCGTTCTAGACGACTAAATGCATGCGAAAAAACTGCATGAAATGATTATTTATTTTGTACACCATTAAGCAGCCCACCTGTACAGACTGTCATTTGACGTTAGCGACGTGAGTCCCGCAGGAGGTACTGGCGTCAATCTGACAGTGACGATCTACTCCCCTGCCTGTGGTGGCTGGTGTGTGTCCACGTCTGTGCCAGGCGGCTTCCGACGAGGAAGGTAGGATAGCTAGCCAAGTTATCCAACTATTTCAATAGAAAGGGCCAGGCCTTGCCTTTAAGCTTCTTCGGACACAGAGAGCCTTCTCTAATTTTCTTTAGCCCCTTAGCTTCCACTACTGACGTCATATCCTAACGCCAACCCTAACCCTAATCAATGGTGTTGGTCCTAACCCGTAACCCTATCCATGACTATTGTGAATGGTGTTAGCCCGAGTTGACAGTTGCCCAAGTCGTCTGGTTTTCAGTATATACGTAACGTTACTTATTTCCCGGTTCTATATTAGGACACGACTGCATTACTTTGAGGCCTCTGATTTGGGTCGTCCAGAAAGGCTTCAACTTAGGACTGACGGCGTTAACAGGACCATTCTTGATCAGGTTAGTGTACATTTTACTAACCAGTTCGCATGGAAATTGTTTTTGCGCCAGATATACGAATTGAATAGGAAGAAAAACATGGGCAAGTAAACCAGGTATGTTACCTCCATAATGTAATAGATTTGTGTAAACAAGTAGGGTTTTCCAACCCCTACAGGTTCGGCTGTATAACGGTCAAACGGGTGTCGAGGAGGAATTCCCGTGTAACCAATGTGAACTGAGTACAACTTGTGCTTGGGAGTCATTGTTTTTGGACGCAAACGGTGAGTGTTGGGTTTTGCGGGACGTACACGTTCTTGGTCAAGTTCATAGGGGCCCTGCAATTCATAGGAACCCTGCAAGTCTTTTTGAGTACTGAATAAACCATTGTTATCATACTGTAATACTATCATTCATTTCTGCACGAACTGATGATCTGGTTAGATATTGCAATGTCTTATTCCTTGCCCTTTTTCTATTATTCTGGTCTAGAGGATGTCCTTGCGGCCTGTTGTTAATACACTGCAGTCTTGGCTTGGCAATATTGGCTTGGCCATCTGCATTTCGGCTCGCTGTGTGAGGTAATTGTCATTATAGAGAAAAATCTACATGTCCACTTTTCTCATAACTGTTCCTTCCTGCTGTTGTCACAAGGTTCGAAGTCGTTAGGGTCATTGAAGATGACATTTCCCACCGAGTGGTCCGTCACAACCTACGTGGAGGTTCAGGCGGCCATGGCTGACCCGCTTGCCGCGCTGACAGCCTGCGGGGAGCTCCGGGTCCCGGACACGGCCAGCAGCCGTACTCTCTTCAGCTACGCCACCACTGAGAGCGCTCATGGGAACGAACTGCTTGTCTTGGGGAAACAAGGGAGAACAACTTACAATGTACGAAGTAGGGTTTTGTTTAATGTCCTTTACAGTCTAGCATACGTCTTAGAAGAAAAACTTTGTGTGTAAAAGTTCATTGATGTGTACATTTTGTACCCCAAAACTAACATTCAGTACAGTGAATACATGTGGTATAGATAAAGTGTAATAGGCAAGTATAAAAACTATAGACACATAACACACAGGGTAATCGCACGCTGTCGCGGTATCGCGGTTTCCATGTATATCGTATGTTATAGTGAGAGGACATCTACATGTATTCATCAAAGCAGAGAATAGGATAGCATAGATCCACGTTCTTCCTGATCCGTCAATGTGATGGAAAGGATACATGTCCTTATCGATCTCCGATGCATGCTAGCACAAAGATTACAGACACATCATTTTTATTTTTCTCGTGTCATTTTCAATACAGCTGATAATCAACGATCACAAAAGTCCTGCATTCGAGCTCCCCATACAAGCCGGCCGCTGGCACCTGTTCTGCGTGACGTGGCTGAGCGGGAGCGGCGAGTGGGCGTTCTACATGGACGGACATCAGGTTACGACTGGTTCCGGACTGGCCACAGGTCATCTGGTCAGGACCAATGGCGCCTGGATTCTAGGACAGGAACAGGATTCCGTCAGAGGAGGCTTTACTTCAAGCGAGGTGACATAAACCTTACAGACTTTCTGTAGTGCACAATGGATGGAGAATAAGCTTTACTGTAGATTAACCAGTAGGTACATGCGGATGATTTAGTTTTAACTGGTTTTAACGGACTGGTTTTAACAAAATATTAATATATACGTCTTATGCTATGATGGACGCGTGGCGCGTTTTATTTTTGTGTGGACTGAGGGCAAATATCACAACATGACTATCTGAATATGGTACCAATAGATAACGTTAGCAGCCGGGGCAACAAAACTAGTAGGTGAGACACAGTAGAAGGAGGTTTTAATGTACATTTGCAAACGTAGCACGACTTCTTGTTTCAAGTAGCTGCACGGGCACAAGGGTGGGGCTTGTTACTGCAGCTGAGGTATAGTTGTACACTGTGGATGTTTTCCGTGAATCAGGCATACAGAGGGGACCTGACACGCTTCAACGTGTGGGACCGTGTCCTCTCTACGGGGGAAATGAAGGACGTCTACAAGTGCAGTAGTGGAGGCAACGTCATCGACTGGGCCACTGTAACGGTGACGCCACACATGGGCGTGGCCTTCTCTGAACACATCTGCTGTGAGTCCGACGACCTACTCGTGTGAACATTCTTACAAATGTGAAGAATGTCTGACTTCCACATAGAAAAGTATACAATCTAGCGATTAAATATCGCGACATTTTTGATACAGCGTCGAAGTCGTGCTTGGCATCGTTTTTCTTTCTTTCAAATTTGAATTGCTACAACGATTCCTCTTAAAAAAACATTTTGAGTTACAGCGTCAGAAAGGGTAATTCGACATCAATGGAAAACGAATATGTGCTGTCATTGCTGTGTAATAATATTGTTCTAATTTGTTTGTTTATTTGTTTATTTCGATTTTTCACAAAGTGAAAGGGAGGGCCCGGGCAAAACAGGTGCATACGCACCTTTACAGGTTGCCCTCCCCATGTTGCTCATAAGATTATTCCTTTCAACATCCAGCCGCTCCAGACGTGCAGATGATGTGGGATGTCAGGACGTTAGGTGAATCGACAGACGGATTCCAAGGCGGGGATGTGGTGACGATGGAGTACAACCTCACCATGACATCAACCACAGCCCTGGTCAACATCACACTGCAGTTTCTGTCAGACTCGCTCGAGGTACCACATCCTCCATCCTGAGATATTTGGGACTTATGACATATAGATTATGACATAGAAACTAGGATTCGTTAGTTAGGATTCATTCATCAGTTCTGGTCTTCGTTTTGTATCATCACAATAATTGACAGGCCCAGTCTCAGTCATGTCGGTAAGGAATGATGCCTTGATTGATTCTATATTGTAGTTGATGCTTAATTTGATTATGCAGATGGGTTGTCATTTTTATCTGTAGGAGTTGAATGCCGTCACCATCTCTAACAGTTCGGATCTACTAGAACTAAACGGCAATCTCACTGGAAAGGTCAAAGGTATGTCTGATTTACTCTTTTCTATAAGTTCCCAATTAGCTAGTATGTGTATATTTCCTGTTCAGATAAATTCAAAAATAATGCTTTATGTCCGTCCAACGTCATGTGGAAGTAGGAATAACAACGATCTCTTTAACGGGTGTAAGAGTAAGGTTAAGAGATATGTCAATTTTAAATGTTAATTGTACCTTTTTGTTGTGTGGCGCTGTTAATATAAGTTGTTAACTTGAGTGCAGAGCCACACTGTCCTTGTTATGTTTTTATGTTTTGATGAATAAAAAAAAGAGTAAGGTTAATCTTTCATTTATGCTCGACTAGTACTGATTTCCGGCTGTTCCTTTCTCCAGGTACGGCGTTCTATGGGCAGAGGCTCTCGGTATGCATTAATGTGACCTACACAGGGAATAATTTCGGAATTGAAGAGGTTTTGGGACCGGTTTGCCCCAACAATACAGTGTTTGCCACATCTAGTGCTCTTCCAAAGTTCAACGTATCCTGGCTGAGCGAAGGAAATGTAACAGTTGGTGAAAATAAAAACGTAAGTCGGGCATCCGCAATATCGTATCATACATCACTTGCCTTACATGTTGTTCTGATGCTATGCGAAAGCATATATTAATGTGTGATGCATTATACTGCGCCGTGTACTGTATTACTGTGGTTCAAATGAATTTAAAGTAAACTGTACTGTGCGGTGAAGAAACTTTGAAATATATCTTATACACAGAACCTACACAACATCCAACATAAGTTGATACAGCGGACATTTTTCCTTGAATTTTAGATGTCAGTCATCGTGGTGTTCCCTCGTCTGAGATTTGACAGCTTGGCTGTTGAAGTACATTTCCCCACGATCGGCTCTATCCTACCCCTCTCCATCACACACCTCACCGTCACTGAGGTCGGAGACAACGTCTCGCTGTTTGGACGGAACGGCACTCACCAGCAAAGTTCGTTACCCATCACCGAGAAGGTAAGGTTCACTATCCAGCACGTGCACGGAGGAAATCTTTTACCACTTAAGTAAAGTTAAGTAACGAATATTCAAAGATATGTCAATAACGATTTCAGAATGTTTTCTCACATTCATTCATGATACTTAACAGGAAGATCGATGGGTGTTGGAACTAGAGGATATATCCACCATTGGGGGTGAAAGCAACATTCTGAAGCTCGCTGTTGGGTTTAGATTTACGAGAGACGAGGACTTCTCAACTCCAAAGGAACTTTGGGCAAGGGTAGGATCTATTGCCTAACATCTGAGTGTAGAAAGCAAATGTGCAATGCTTGCTCTTTATCGCAGTCTTGTCCTATTCGATATACATGTCTTTACAGCGTATTTTCGGTTGCTCTAAACTAATAGATTATAAAGGGATACATAATGTTGACATGATGATATGCGTTTTCTTTCTAGTTACTGAAGAGCTTTCTCCTGAGATGGCCTCACCTACTGAAGGGTGATTCGATAGTTAATAAGTGCAATTTTAAACACCTCATGGCTGTTTTGCTGCTGTGTAGGTCAGTGCCAGCTGCGTGGCGTTAGACACCGTGATCTGGACGGGAGCCCTCCCCCTTACCGTGGTGCCGCGGGGCAAGCCTCTTCTGGTCCTGGACGCCTCGGTCAGCGACCCTGGCGACCTCAGCAGGGGGTAGGTCTACATACCCTTTTGATCGAGTGAAATACGCTACTCAATACCAATCGTGTTAAAACAATGCTTTGTTGCAATGTCGTCATTAGCTTCAGTTAGTTGGTGTGTTACGTCGGAGGGCGGTTATACCGGCTATACTGATACAGATACATATGGGATGGGTCCATGTAAAGTATTTCTCACAAACTTTGGCCTTCATTCAAAACACGGTCTTTTTTTCAATCAGTACCAACACTTAAAGTCATCACTGCTAACTTACACCATGCTTAACCAATGCTTATAGGTATATCTTGAATAAAAATAAGTCTAGCTTATCTATTTTTGAAGCGTTATTTCTTAAAGCAACTGCGCGATAATTTTCAGGGATATGGTGACGTTCATAGTCGACCTTCGCCACGACCCGAATTCCACGGCCACGGCGTATAACGTCACGACGAAACTTTTCTCAACTCCGTTCGTCAAGTTTGTCAGATTGGGAGAACCCGAGAATGGGCAAGAGCCAAGAGTGATCGCCAAGGCGAACGCCATTTTGTTCAAGGTAGGGTAAGAAGTGAGCAGGAGAGAAAATGCCTTCTTGTCGATAGAAGAACGTCACGACCCGACAAATCCTCGACCCCTACTTCCTAGGGGAACAATTTAAAAGTTTAAAACATGGTATGAATGACCATTAATATAAAGGATTGACCTTTTCTTCATTGAAAATGGTTAAGAATATCTCCCTTTCATCAATATTGTGCCTCTTCTATCCTTTTCTCAGTGGCCTGAGCTGGGCCTAACCGACCGGCACAGGTTCACGTTTCAGATGATGATCGACCCGGAGAGTAAAGAGCGGCCAGGAGACCACCGTTTCGTGGGGCCGATAGAGACCTTGTACCGCGGAACCGCCCTCCCAGGAAAACGGCTGCGTACCGAGACAAAGCTGCTGCAATTTTTCTACAAAGTCTTTTGTATGTAACGCCGCATTTAGCTTATCATACTTTCGGATTTGCTATTCACTAACTTAAAGGTGCTTTTTGCCTCCAAAGATAACGTTTTTCTAATCAGTCTTTTTGTCGTTCTTTCAGCTGACGCCAACAGGCAAACCGTCCCAGGCGAGTGACCTTGTCCTGACAGAAACAAAAGGCTGTCAATGCTAGTGTAGAATAGATAGAAGTCCCATCGTTCCATTTCATGCGTCTTTATATTTATTTGTAATGTCTTGACCACAATTGGTTATGATTATTTTTACATATACATGTACACGAGTATATTTGAATGGTGATAGCTACTGAAAATTAGCACGGTACTTCAACTGATGGCATTTTAATGTTTTTCCCCTTTAATTACAGAATTTCGCGAACGGAGCTTTCTGGTCGATTCCCAGAACAACAAGGTGTACTTTTGTAACTACGCAAGGTCAGTAACGTTAACAATGCCCTCACAGAACATAACTATAGGCTGCACCTACAGTCCACTTAACTTGACTCAGCAAGATGGTACTACTCTGATATTTGGACTATTATTTCATGCATGTTAAATTGCACCAACCCTTTGCATCTATTTTCATTGTAATTGACCCTTTAACTGTTGCGCACTACATCATCATTGGTGTCTTGTACATGTTATGTAGTTATGTGTTTCCTTTCAGACGCCGACAGGGGTTGAATGCCTGTTTTGCTCATGATGAAAACAACCCGTCCCAACATGAGAACTGGAGAGGTAGGTCAATGTAGGACTGTATGGAGATGATCTCCCGAAAATCCAAATTATCTTAAATGACTAAATTACTGGGTACTCTTAAATCATATAAAGTCATTACTGTAATGATTCGTTTTTGTAAAAAAAAATGATTTTGAAGCGTAAATATTTTCCCTGTTGAAGTCCTGAGCCCGATGCTGGGCAGCCTGCTGGGTGTGAACCAGGCGGGATCCGAGCTGTACGGGGTGAGCCACTGTAGCAGGGCCTACATGGTGAGCGAGGATGACGGGAGGAACTGGTTCTCCATCCCGCGGGAGGACTGGACCAAGGCCAGACAGACAGACTACGTACGGGCCATGGAAGTGAAAGAGGGGGAGAACGCAGACGGCTCTACGGAACAAGGGACTACCTGGAGAGGTTTGTTCCCTGCCTATTATTAAGTTGTAATTGCAAATGATACATTTCAAAACTAAAGCAGAATTAGTTAGCTCTACCGTATCTTAGATCTCCTTCTACAAAAAGTCTCCTGATTCAGTAATGTACGGTATTGAAATCCATTGGTTTTCTCCTTGGTGCTGAACGGCTGTTGTAAACTTTGACCTTCTCTTGGACATTGTCCTACTTTTCACGTACAAATCTCTTTACTATGAACCATTTAGACTTTGTTGCTGCGAATACATATAACAACTTCTGGGCAACTTGAAACCGTGCCTTTATGAGTCACTTCGTTGTCTACTTTTGCAGCTAATGATACTGGCATTCTGAGACTTCCAGCTGGTGAGTCTGCCTGGCAACAAGTCGCCTCCTGGACCTGATGAGGACAACAAAATCCACCACCACAAAACGACCTGGACGTTTTTATACTCAAAACATGAATGTATTGGACATAAATGTATAATACATAGTTGTACATATTCCTGTACGTTGTTTGTCCATGACTAATTCTAGTATGGCTTCCCTGAAAAATAAGCTTAAAAAACGCATTTTCTTGCACTTGACACATGATTGCCATGTTACAAGTAGAAACTGCTAACTACTACATTGCACTTTGCATAAAATAGGTGTGAATAAATAAATGGGTTATTGGTGTGTCACAGCGGTAGCTGTATTGCAACATGCACACATTTATTATTACACTGTAAAAGGTTTCTTGTTCCGTGCAAGTTATACATGTATGTAAGTTCTCTCCATGTTAAAAATATATATACATGTACATGTGTGATTACATGCTACATCTACATCTATAATTTCCTAAGATATGATAAAAGAATAAAAGCAGAGCTCAGCTTTTCAGCTTCAGAGAAATAAGTACATTAAGTACTGCCTTCCCTGTGGTTGCCTCAGTATTGTGCTGAATACTTATCCCAAATCATGTATCTATTTTATGCTTATTTCCTATGGTACAGTACCATGGCAACTATCACTAACATGAAAGAGAAGCAGAAGTACAGGTTGAGCTCCAGAGAGAAGAGCACCATGGAGGCTACAGTAGTGACCAGCATGGCACAGGAGATGATGAACAGTCTGGTGATGTTACTGGCATGTTTCATCACTGCTGAGATGATCAAGCCATTTCCTGCCTACAGAATAAAAAAAGAAACACTGATTTTTATCTTGTTATTTCAATCCTTTTCATAAATACATCAAACCTGTTCTGAACAGACAGAAGGAAAAGAAGAACCACAAAATGACTTCCTAGTTGCATCACATGTAATTCCTCATTGTCACAATATCTTCATCAAAACAATTAACTTACATACAAAATTAAAGTTAAACTAAGGTTGCCATTGATGTTGATGTTTTTTCTTGAATGCTCTTACTTTGTAAATATTTGTGCAAGCACCCAATACACTGATCCCATAGCCCGCCTGTTAAAACGAAGAAATACAAAATAAAAAGTTTTTAACATTGCTAATTGCTACGCTATCATAGGTTAAACTGCTAATTGTGATGGACAGCAAGGGTAAGTCTATAGTGTTGACTCCCCCATGAATGAATGTATGTACCACTGACCTGTGTCAGGATGATCACCCACGTTATCAATGTATAACCAGCGAAGAAATCTGCTGTTCCTGAAGACACATTAACATATCATCAATGACAAAAGCAGCAGGTTTTCATGCTACTGATTGGCCAAAGAATTCAAAAGCAACAAAGAGATTATACTTCATTCATAGCCTCACCATCCGTGCTTGACCAACTGCTGACCAGGAAAACGAGCAAATTCAGGACAGCTCCAAAGATGTACAACAAGATGTTCTGAACATGTAGAGACAGCTGTGGTTGTCTTTTCAAAATGAACTCTGGTAATAAAAGAACAAATACACAAAATGGATTACCCAATGGCTTCTATAGCTCTCTTTAATGTTTGAATGCCAAATCCAGCAGCAGGAGGGTAAGGAAGTACATTCAATTTGAAAATCCCAATTCCAAAGCTTTTAGTCTGTTTTTTTTGTACTTAAACTATGTTTCTATTATCCCCACTCTATCCTTTCACACACCAGAATGAGTTACCTGTATAAACGCCTGATGCACCAGATATTGCACAGTAAGTCAGGACAAGCACAAGACCCCACATGGTGACATGAACTTTACTTGATGAGGAGTAGTCATCAACACTGCCAGAATTCATCAGGCCACCATAGCTATGGGACAAATGTCATAATATCAGCATTGATGTTTTTAGTATGTTGCAGTTTTGCAGGTGTGGACCATGCTTTGACTACAACTTACAAGAGCTTTTCAAGATTCAGACCCTGATGAGCATATAACGTTTACTACATGTAGATAGGTACAAGGATGAACTATTCAGAATACATAAGAATAAGTCATCATCATCATCGGTCGACCGTATTGGTCGGGGTTATACCGCCCCTTACGAGGTGGCATACCCTTTCGTTAGCTTAATACAAGACGGGGTTCGCCACGCCTCCGTCCGGGTGATGATGTAATCACCATGTGTGGTGATGTAATCACCATGTGGCTGATACGGAACAGAGGTTCGCCAGGCCTCCATTCGGGTGATTTGAAGTGAATCACCAACTCCATACAGTAGTGTCTGTACCATCGCACACCGGGGCATGCCCCTACTCTTTTTCGAAAGGTGTGGTGGGATCTTTAACGTGCGTGGGGTGTGGCTCTCTCCAAACACGGGACCTCCATTTAACGTCCTATTCGAGGGACGTCCCTAGCCGAAGCTAGGTACTCATTTCCACCTGAGTGAAGTGAGGAAAGTCGTGTAAAGTGCCTTTCCCAAGGGCACAAGATCGGTGACAAGGTGGGGTTCAAACCCATGACCTCTGGGGTGTGAGCCGAACGCGCTACCGATTGCGCCACACGACCCCACCCCAAGAATAAGTAAGACCATGTATGTTGTCAACATATGTCAATGTTTAAACTGGAAATAGCCTGCCTTACACAAACTGTAGTGTTGGGCATGCAAGAAATAATTGAAGAGTTACGAACCTGTTACTAACCCCTGCTAGGGTAAGCAGTGCTAGGGCCAACCACTGTATCCAGGAGAGCCTCCTGTTGAAATATGGGGGAATGACAGGGATTTTATGGTTAGGAGCATATTTGCAACAGATGGATAAAGAAGCTGCAGTATAAGAAATGATACTTACATGTAGTAGGTGGTAGACATTGCTTTTAGCATGCTTGCAGCATTCGAAAGCCCAAATTATAACCTTTTTAATTTTTCAAACATACCTTTTTCAATCATACTACTACATTCTGATATCCATGATAAATCCCAAATATCAATTATATTATGGTGCAAACAATGGGTAAAGGCAGTTACCTTCTCATGACCATTCTGTATAGTACAGCTGTTGCAGCTATTTTCAAGTTACTCAATACCTGTTGGAGATTAGGGAGGATTTTAGGAGATTAGCACCTTTATTGACTTTATTAGAAAAACCATAAAAAGATAAGACAAAGCTTTAAAGTCTGTTCAAGTCCACATTTGTACATGTACATAGGGGTGGGTACTGTGAGCAGTATAGGAAGAGTCCATACCTGAAAGCTGGCGGGGTCCATATATAGCTGTATGTGCACCACGATGTTATTGTTGATACAGTACAGTAGGGCAGGGACACTAAACGGGACCCAGTACTTCAACCTGGGTAACCCCAGCCTGCCGCTGCCAACTCTTATACCCAGCTCCAGACGACGCATTGTTAATGAGAACAACAGCTGGAAAATGTATGTAAGTTATGATTACTATCAAAACAATTTGACACTATTACAGTAGGTTATGTTCAACTTATGTTTCATTTTCTTCACAATCAATGAGTATGCTATGTTTTATAATTAACTTTAATTAAGAAAGCTCAACTGCAAAGTGGGTCTCTAAAGAAAAAAAACAACAGAGGTTCAGTGAAACACTGCAGCAGAAGTTACCTTTGTCAGTTCTATCATCAGAACAACTGATGCTGAGTTGAAGGGAATCTTGCCATCCACCTTACACAGGTTCAGTAGTACAGAGTGAGACCCGTAGATTAGAACACTGGGTAAAGAAAGGAGAAAATAATTTGTAAATCTAGAACTTAGGGAATGGTTATTGACAGGACGATCCTGTCAATAATGATCCTGTCAATTGCACAACATTTTCTCTTATTGTGCATTTTTTTTGTTATTGACAGGATGATCAATGGTGCAAGTTTTTCCACTATTGACAGGACCATCCAGTCAATAGCCTCAGCCTAATTAATATGCATAATAAAAACATTATTAAATGATATCAATTCCTGTCAGAGGGCAAAAAATAAAATAAGTAAGTTCCATCTCTGTCATGACTTTAACAGACCCATAGATAGTCCAGTTTTATATAACAGTTATTATATCACAAATTAAACCTGCTTTGATTTGAATTGAACTGAAATCTGTTGTGCCTCACCCAGATACCAGCATAATGGCCCACTTCAGACTGTTGGGTTGTCTCGTATCGCCATGTCTCTCATTCAAGTACAGTGGAAGCTTCTTGAAAATACAGAAAGCACAGGGGAGTCCTTCGTAAGAAATGTGTAAGGGGGATACGAAAAATTTAAGCACAACACGACGTAACAAAGATATTTTCATCGACTTCGGAATTACCTCTCTTGAAATCGCCGCCATTTTGGAAGAAGTGCCGCATACGAGGCACGCCCCTATTCAACGACATTAAATTTTCTCGCATTTTAAGGCAATTTTAATACATTTATTGTAACAATGGTACAACGAAATGAATTTAACGAAAATATAGCTGGGCGTCTTTACTCGTATTAGCATTATTGTATCTATTCTGCCGATTTACGACAGTCGTAAACTGGGCCGGTACATATCAGCTGATCGTCTGGCGTGATCCCAACATTACGAAAGTTTGCACCAGCGAGGATTTACTCAAACTCCTTGATTTTACGAAGAAGTGTACCTCCATTTCTGTTGGAGCTTTGATGCAGATTCTGTTACCTGCCAAGACTGCGTTGTGTCGTGTTCAAAGGTATCTAGGGCTAGATAACTAATAGTGGGAAGCTCGAAGGGCATGCCAAAAAGTTACTATGGACTGACGACTGACACTTCCCATTTAGCAGACGACAAAGTTTATTTTTCCAACGAAATTCCACTCAAGCTGTTAAATCTGAACTTTACATTTTATTTCCAGGACTGGCCAGGAGATGCAAAAATATAATCTTGCATGATGATTTTTGAATTTTCATCACCTTTGAATTTAGCCAATTTGTTATGTTCACTCTTGTTAGATGGCAGCTGACACAAGCACCTCAGAAGGTGTCGTACCGGAAGCAGAGTTTTGGGAAGGTGTGGTCATCTTCACAGGTGCCATGTGGACAGCTTACAGCATGGCCCCCAACCTTATCCTGCCCATAGTCGTAGGTAAATGGACTCATGTATTCAGATTTACCACATTTATAAGGTATTTGTGGAAGGCCTGACCTAACAGGTGAATTAGATGTCAACTGGTAACCCTTAACCATACAGAAAAGGTTTGAACTACTCACATTGTGATGGAACCCTAATCTTTTCAAACACGGGACTGCTTAATGTCCCATCCGAGAGGACGTCTGTAACTGAAGATGCAAGTGTTAACATGTGTTACATGTTACATGTTCGTTAAGGAAAAACTAACTATAGGTAATATTTCCATTTTATTGCAGTGTTTATTGGAGCATTTTCATTACAGTCAACATGGTCAAAATGCTCTGTGGATCAAACACTTGGATGGAACCTCAGGTAAGAAAAGTCTATGATGCAATGCCAGCTCTAAACACTTGGTGTGCATTCCTGCATTTTTTTTTAATGTTGAGAAATCAGTTACAAGTGTCCTAATTTGAGCCTTTCCTTCTCTTCAGACCTGCAGCTGGCAGTGGCCTTGTTACAGGAAACATTCTCATTCCCATGGTCCTCGTGGCCAATAATCTCCATGGGAGTATCAAAGAAAATGGTAAGCATTCATGATACCAAGTGCGGTCAGAAGAACATTAAGTAGAGGATGACAAAGAAGAAGACACTAACAAATTTTCCATGGCCATTTTTTTTAATCATAAAATTATTGACGTGAATGTACACCATTATTTAGTCTCTTCCCACATTGTTACAGGGGTGAGCGGTATGTTCTGTGTGTACAGTCTGTGTATGAGCCATGCTGCAGTGTGTTTGGTGTGGCTCAGTAAGTCAGACCTGCATCCAGACAGACCCAGTGTCAGGACCATGGGCTCCATAGCCACCACCATCTCTGTCCTCCTCATACTACTTCTACAGGATCTACCATTAGGTAAGGGTGGACTAAGTGACATCAAGCTTTCAGTATAATCCTCCAGGCATTCATGGTATAAAAGGTGAAGGCTCCTAACTTGTTAACAGTTCTTGTCTAGACAATGCTTGGCACCATGCTCAGGCACATTTTGTTCATGTTTCAGGGGCCTTCAGCTTTGACATGTTAGTACTGTTACCCACAATACATCACACTGTGCATGCACAGTTCAAACTTTGAAGTATTTAGATGTCTGTAATCTTAGCACTGAGCTAGTTTGTGTTATTAGTATACTAAGATGATTTGTAAGCTCCATTTCACCACGGACTAACTTCAGTAATGCTCTGCTACCACAGGGATAGGAAATGTCACTGTAGGGATTGTGGGTGTGGTCCTCTGTCTGTGTGTCCTCCATGGCCTTCTGACCAGCCTTCCCAGCAGCCTCTCCTTGGGAGAGGCTATTCTTGTCTCAGAGGGGATGGCCTTGCTGATGATTGACAGCTGTCAGAATGTTTTCTACAGAAACAGAAGTTTGGAGTGCCAGCTTCTGCAGGTAGGAGGGCATGTTGCCTTCTTTTCATGAGTGTCATGTAAAGATACATTTCAAGGCAAATGGCCATCCGTTTGTCTCTTTTCCGTCATGTACTACAGTATTTGAAGAGTGAAGTCTAAGTTGTTGTTTTATTTATGTATGTCAGCTGAATAAGCCCAAGGATATAACGTCCTTGCCAACCCTGTGTCCCTTGTAGCATCAAATCAAAATTAAATGTATCTCAGTTTTTTCAGTGTTTTGTCATTCTGAAAAAGATTTTTTTTTAAATGTTGGTTGACTATTACCATTTTGCATTTCAGTCAGTTGTGCTTGGTCTTGCAATCATTGGAGCATTGTCAAACAGGATGTTTGTGTCATACGACAGGACAGAAAAACAGAGGTAACGTTACACATGTTATCTTTCTTTACATGGTTACTTAAGATGATGTGAAGCTGAAAAGTGCAACTGCTTTGGGCAAATACTAACACAAAATAGCTTTTGTAGCAAAGAAAGGTATTCCTACAAGGTTCAGTTTTGTCTTCTCAAGATTTTATCAGAAAAATATCCTTTAATGCAAAATACATGTACAAGACACAGTCATGTCTTGCCATCAAGTTTGAATTAAGCCTCCAATTTTTATTTTCTGGTATGGACTGTTTACTTTGAATTCAACTTTTTGTTCCAGCATAGCCTCATGGAAAGACTCTTTGAGATTCTACATCCTGGTACTTTGTGTAGTGGTGTTCATCTGTGTCCCTCACCTGTGGTGGCTTCTGGGAAGGATCCCAATCCTCTGGCTCATGGGCTTCATACTGGCTTGTGACAGCAGTGTAAGTTTAGCTTTAGGCTAATCTCTGACCATCTCTGTTTGTTCTCAATGTGTACATGTACAATGTACTCTTTCTGAAATTGATGTTCCATTCTTAAAGTAACATCAAAGTTGTACTACTGGGTACTACTAATAGAGTTGCTTCCAGATCTTCTAATACAAAATGTGTAATCTCAAATCCTCTGTAGATCTCTCTGATTGGCTACTGGAGTGTGATGACATTGGTTGCCATAGCAATGGTTACCAGGCAGAACAGGACCAACCCTGCTGGTGCAGGTTCCACCATTGTGAGGAAGTATTTCCATGTCATCGCCATAGCAGTCTTCCTACCTGGACTGATGCAGAACCCCCAGCTGTTGTACATAGCATCTGTAGCAGCTTTGGGAGCCTTTGGTTTGTTGGAAGTAAGCATGTTTTAAAGATGTGATAGTTTGATAAAATCTGATAGTTTCATGGAACACATCGTTTCTTTTAGCACACTGTATGCCCTTATTGTAGATAGATCACTTTGTGACTGTTAGTGGCATCTCTCATTTTGTTAAGCTAGTCTCATTGCAGCTCTGTACAGACATACATGACTGGAAGTACATTTGTACATGGAAAGTCCAGTCCATATTTAATGTGTATGATAAATGTCTGATGTTTGTGTCCTATAGTATATGCGGATGTACAGAATCCAGCCCTGGGGTGAATCCCTGCACACATCCCTGCGTGTGTTTGTTGATGAGAAGGATGGAGGGGCGGCCATACTTACCCACATCTACCTGCTGCTGGGCTGCTCCCTCCCTCTCTGGCTTTACCCTACTGCATACACAATAGGTATGGAAATTAAAAATCCCATGGAAAGAGTTGGTTCAGTCTGTGTGAAAATTGATGTTTATGTCAAAAAATGCTGGTATACAGTTATGTCTAGGTTGTCCTCATGACACTCATATGCCGGGTGTCCACTGTTTGATACCTAATCTCCCAGATTTTGGGGAAGGCTAAATCATTACATTTTCCTATAGCTAGCCGTCCTTTCCTGCTCAGGAAGCAGGTTTATACAGGAAAGGGCAGCTAGGACAATGTACTGAGAGATGTAACCTCCCCAGACATCTGCTTGTGGCATATCCGAGGTTCGGTCTTATCACTCTTATGTTTATCAATGACACTGTTCTAGGTCCTGAGTTGGCGTTGTACAGTGGTGTCATCTCCCTGGGAGTCGGGGATACTGCAGCCTCTGTCATCGGATCAAAGCTGGGCAGACACAGATGGCCAGGTAATGTGATCAGTACCTGTATCTGTGATATTAGCAAGTGTGACTATAAAGAACTTCAGGGTTTGATAAGGCCATACCAAGTAAATTTTATGGATGTGCGCACATTGATTTTGGCCTGTTCCTAGAAAAAAAACCCAAGAAATTCTGCTTCCTGTAACTATGACCAAAGATTGACGACAGTGCCGCAATTTTATGCTTTGTTTCTGCAAGCCTGCAAAAATGTGATGAAAGAAACAGGACAGGAAGACAACTGCTGTTCCACCTGATTTATTGCTGTTTTGATGATGAATAAAAGACTTCTTGCTTGTTACACTGTGTCACCTCATTCAATTTGTGTCCTAACATTTGTCGTCTCTTAGTATATTTCTAATCTAGGCATCTTGTTTCATAGGGCCCTTCTTGTTTTGTTTTTTTTGCCCTCTCGCATTAGATTTAGGGTCTCCAAACGACGTCATCCATAAAATTTACTTCGTGTGGCCTAATACACATGCACCCCCAGTAGTTCCTTCCAGTTGAAGTCTTTTTAATGATTTCCCAAGATTCCAACAAGATTCTTCATGTATTTTGACTTAAAAGGTCAACATCTGTATCTGTACCGCACCTACCATTTGAAAGTTTCTAAGTCACTGTATAATTAGCTTCACCCAAATTAAGGATGACAGAAGAAGAGTATAATCATGGAGCTATAATTTGAGAACCTCGTCAAATTATAGGTCCAAGGTATAGTCATATAGTCCTTTGTCAGAAAGACAAAAAAAAAACTTTTTCTAGACCCTCTATGCACGAGTCTAAAGAAAATGTTGAATACCTGAGGCATAGAAACTACTGTGTCAAAAATATTGCAATTCTTACAGGTACAAAGAAAACAGTAGAAGGGACCGTAGCTGCTGTGGTGGCACAGCTGGCAGCCTGTGGCACGCTGAGTTTCTTTGGTGAGTGAAGAAGTCTGTAGAACTAGAAGATTACTGTGTTTCATGACCAACATAATTGTAAAATTGCCAACTTTTTAAACTTGCATATGTACCACTTACGATGCAAGAAATGCCTACATGTACTATTATTTTTTTAAACCCATCAACATCGTCACTTTGTGTTAGGGCTGTAAAAATTGGTTGAAAACTACATGTAACATTATATGTAACTGAGCTGCCAGATTGGATGTAGAAGAGCACTGGTTTAGGGAAACAAGTGTTTGTGATATCAGGTTATGGTGTGACATTTTTTAATTGTTGCAAAAACGAAAGTTTTGGTTTTGTCAGACCTGGCAGATAGCTCATCAGTAATTCTGTCAGACTGAATGCAAATCAGCACCAAGGACAAGCACATTTCTGAGGTGCAGAATGAATGAATTACCACGTAGGAAGGAACCAGGTTAGAGGGCTGAAAATTGTCATTTTTCATTCTGTTGACTCAAGACACAAATATGTATGTTCAATGTCACTGCAGGTGTGCAGCCTGGTTTTACTGCCAACTGGATCCCCATGGTGACAGTCGTGTGTCTGACGTCGTTATTGGAAGCCTTCACCTCCCAGGTGGACAACATGGTGACACCACTCTACATGTGTGCACTCTTTACCTGTGGGCTGTCATCATGAGGTCAACATAGCCTACTAGTACCGGTACTAGTATCTCTTGCAGACAGAGGCTGATTGGGTCTCATCCTCCAGGGGACCCCAAAAGCTTGTGGCCACACAAGTCTAACAAGAGAATCATTCCTATTCTCAGAACCACAGAAAGGAGCTCAATGACCTTTACCAGTATAAAAAGTGCATTAGCTCAGTAACTATGGAAATCAGTCATCACAGCCCCCAACACTGTATTAACAGGGATTTCTCAGTTTGACAATACTTGTTACCACATGCATAAACAAAATTAGTCTGCGGACTTAGAGAGGTGCTGGCCATCAAGCTTCTTATAGGGACCTGATCAATGGAAAGGCTGCTAGAAGTGGGATGTAGGTAGGCAAGCGGTCAAAATACCACATGGGGATACTGTAAAACTCTGGGCTTAAGTCATTATGTTTGCAGCCTGCAGTTTTCTACTTCGAATTGATTTTGATAAATACAACATGTAGCACCCTTTTAAATTAAGTATACCCTGAATATTTTGTAAATGGCTAGAGAAGCCTTGACAGTTGTTATAAAGAAATTAACTGTATTTTACATACATGTACGTATATGTATTTGGTATGGTATGTATATGTATTTGGATCACTAAATGTAAACTTAAATCTGTGTTTAATGACAGGGAAATAAAATTTACTTAATTTATGTTGTAATTGCTGCTTGATAAAGTGTAAAAGTCTTATCCAGTAAGAAGCCATAAAATGAGAAGACAAATATCTGACATGTTTTGTAATAACTTTGTATTACAAGGCATATTATTGTATTTGCAAAAGTAAGTTTGCAGCATCAGAGAAACTATTAAACTTATGCCTGTGTGATTTATATATCTATGTCTGCTTGCATCTTTTCTTTGTTTTCTTGGAATGTACAGAATTTTGGAAAAAAAATTCAGAACTGGAACAGATCCATTAATTCTTAAAGTTCTGTGAGGTCATTTCGAAGGGAAAATGCAAACCTAATTAGACTACTTAAAATATGATTTGGTGACAACTAATTTGTAAGGTAAGGGTGCTGTAACAAAAGTGCTATAATAAATAAATGTACATAAGGCCTCATTTTACATGAAAGTTGTACAAACATTGTAGGCTCATTACAAGGTCAACATTCATACTTTTTTCACAAGTATGCAAGATATCTCAACAGAAAATCAGTCTCCTCACAATAACTGCTTAGTAAAGAACCTTCTTGCATGCTGCGTACAGGAATTCAAACTCTATTCAACGTCCTTGCTTAACTATAGTCAGGTAATAATGTAAATTACAATACGTTCTCTTACCTACCTCATGTCAAAAACAAAGTCAAGTAAACAACTATGATTTTTATCAAGCAGGATGGCTAGAAACTAGTGAGAACTATGTACCAACTTTTTATTTATGGATTAAGTGCACTTATATGTAAAGTGAACCATATACACTCAAAAATTGAAGTTAAATCAAAATTAAAATTACAGGTGTACTGAAAACCTCTTTAATTCTACGATGATCCTCAAATGGAACCTGGGATTATGCTGTTTTGCATTGATGATGAGCTCTAATTAGACTGCAAGTCTGTACTGTACTAATTAGCTACAAAAACATTACTGCTCTGTGTGCAGTTCAATCAGTTGGGAGGTTAGAAGGTCAACTGCTGACAATCCACTGGTGGTTGGGAAACATCCCTGGAACTTGCCATCCAGTAGATCGTTCCCTTGCTGGTTTGCAGCTGGACTCTTACTTCTTATTGTGTAACTTGCATTTTCCCTCTCTTTGTCTATCTGAATGAGCTCCTCCAATCTGTGCAATCAAACATACAGCAACTTTAGTGTGAAAGTGCCATGTACAACTTGTTACATAACAAGCATTCTAAATTGTTGACTTTATCCAAAAAGGGAATATTTTTACTGTTGTTATTGTGTGTATTTTTTATCTGTATGTTTTATATGGGTGAGTCATGCTTGAAATAAAAAAAAGATGGAAAAGCAGTTTTCATTACCATGGCAGGCATTTTTTATACCCACCTGTTAGCCAGCTCTATTGATCGATCGCTGGCACCAGAGTTTCTCCTTTCGCTTTTGACTTTGTTTTCTGCTCCATAATCACTGTTTGTCTCAGACTTGTTGCGTGTCTCCTCCACATCACCGATTATTTGGTGCAGGATGATTCTCTCTGCCCCAAGAGACAGAGGGCTGCTAACATTTCCAGACTTCTTCCAAATGTTTCTACTGCCCCTGTGAGGATCATACGGTTTTTCAGGGCCTCTCACATTGTTGGAAACAAACTTACCAGGCTGCATTGTTGCAAAGCTGGGACCTGTCTTGTTTCCATCTTCATTCCTTGCTGCTGCTTGATAACGGATCTCTTGGTCCTTAAGATCTTTCTTGATGAATCTTCTCTCGCCACTGTCTCCTGCCCCTCTTGACTGTTCTACTGTAGGCCCACTCTTTTCTCCTCCATCTGTTATTCTTTCCTTCCTATCTTCTGCTCTAACCATCACCCTGAAGGCTCCGCCTCCACCCAACACTGGAACAGGTGTCTGCTGATTCCCATGCTGTGAAAACCTCTCTGTCAACGAGATCCTTTGTTTTGGAGCAGGCCGTTGGTAAGGGATATGAGAAAACATTGGGTGTTGTGGGACGGGAATGTGTGGTTTCTGATCTTGGAGGAAGAAGGGCTGGCTGCTGATCTGTGGAGGCTGGGGTGTAGGCACAAGTGGTTGTTTCCCCTGGATCAAACTTGGGTTCAGTCCAGGCAGTGGCATGAGAGGCTGACTGCAGACAGCATAATTTTGGTCCATGAGCTGCTGGCAGATGTTTGTCTTTTTCTCCACGGAGTCCCAAAGTGTAACCACAAGCTTGCCTCCTGCCTGTTCTCCACTTACCTCTGCATACAGGACCTACAGAAGAATTTTCAACTCAATGAAAGAGAAGTAACATTTCCTTAAGACTAATAATAAGCACACCAACTTTATCAGATGCAACTTTAAGGAAACATTTTCTGACCTTGTTGGCTGTGAGCCCCTTGAGGAAGGCGTTGGCTCCTTCTGTCCAGCAACCTTCATCCTTGGGGTTGGGCGTGGCATTGGCAAGGCATGCTGGTCTAGCCAGTATGGGGACGGCCAGCAGGTCAGGTGGGAGGGGGAACAGGTTGTGCAGCTGGGTCAGCTCCACAGTGCCGTAGTCCACATGCTGTACATTTACCTGTGGAGAGACAGTGATGAATTTTTTTGAAAAGATACTGTAAATAATAGAATTTTCAGTGATTTTATGTCACTGTAAGATGGAATGGGAGGTCTTCACTGTTTTAAATTTGCAGCTGAAACAATCATAAAAGGGAGACACATTTGCACTGTGCACATATTACTGTGAACATAAAACCAGTACAAAATTTTCATGATTCAGGAACCACTTTACTGCTATGTGTGTATACAATTTTACAGAGTGATCCTGACTGTGCACCTCCTCGTGCATAGTACAGTGCAGTAGAGACTAACCATATGTGGCAGTACACCCATGATGCGCACCCTCCTCCACATGTGGTGTTTCTCACTGTAGATACACATGACCTGTCCAGTCTGGTTACACAGGGTCTTCATATCTGACAACTCCTAATGGTGGAAGAACAATTTGTTGCTGAGGGAACAAGTAATACAGTTTTACTAATCAAGTGCTGCAAAAAGGCATTCGAAGAAACTAAGATGCTATGTTCTATCATGGAATATCTTAAATTTCTGCCAATTTCAATGGTGTTAGGCATAGACATTTTATTCACACAAGCACTAATATTCAGATGGGCCATCTTGAGTTTTACAGGCAAACAGTGGCAAAGTGGAGATAGCATATACATGTACTAGTAACCAGGCCCTCATGACTTCCCTCCCTACCTGTGCTGTCCTTTTGTTTGCTGCATTCTGGAGACTTTGTGACACCTTGTTCAGCAGGGTGCTGTCTACTGACTGGATATAGAACAGCTCGGGTGTCACCACCTGCAATAAACAAGCACAACAGTTATGACCAGAAAGACTGACACTGTAGACAGCATGTGAAGCATGAAATGAACACATCAACATCTACATCATTACAATGATATGAAAGTATGATATACATGTAAGACAAATCGAGAGCTAAGGTCAGCATACCACAAATATATAATGGAATACAAGGTACCCATAGGCAACACTTGGTTCAAAATGACAGAAATTTCACGTATACTAACAAATTATTAACAGACTTTTGGTTCAGCATTGTGACAACTAATTCTCAAATATCACATAACAACTTTGCCTACCTCTGATACCTTGGCCTGTAAGGTAAACATTTGCCCTTTGAACTGAAGCTGAGGAACATACTGGGTGACTGGTGTTCCCAGCAGTCCTTGCTGCTGCTGACCTGCCAGTGTTTCCTGGTGTCTTCTTCCTGTGTCTGTGCGGTATGGTCTCTCCATTCTCTGGTTGTTTGTACTCATCTTCTTCAACACTGCTTCCTCCTTGTCACTTAGGAAAGGTGACTGAAACATCTGGTGATCTCTTTCATCACCTCTTTGCTGGAATGTCCCATCATTGAACTTTCTGCCAGCTTCTTTCTGTTGCGAGGAATGCTTTGTTTCTTGATTACGTGCTGTGCTGTTAGAGAAAATATGTCCCTTAGCTCTCGTTCCATCTATAGTAGCTTCCTGTTTAGAAACACTGTGGTCACTTGCATTGTCATCTGCTATTGGCACATATTTGCTGCTGTTGGTTTGGCACTTGGGTTCTTCTTGTGCAGCACCCTTAAAAGGTTTCTCCGAGAATGAACATTCTTCTTCAGATGCCTCCTTTTTCATGAGGGAGTTGACTGATGCGCAGTCTGTGGCATTTGGAGTGTAAACCTTAACTTCCAGAATATGGGGCTGTGGAAGTAACAACAGCATAAGATTATGCATATGTATCTGGGAAAAAAATTTAATGCAAATTTCATCACATCATAAAAATCTTTCTTCTAATTTGTTACTAAAGACCTCATAATGTAAATGTACACAGGTGTATCACAGTTAACCCACCTTGCATGTTCTGGACTGACTTTGCATCACTGAGACCACTTGGCAACTGAGAATCTCTTTCAGCTTGTTGTGTCCGAAGCTTGTGTCAGGGCTAAGTCCTGTGGACATAATTTCAGATTTCAAATCCAGGACCACACATGAACCATGCAGTACTAAAACACTTCAATGTTTGAAACAATATCTAGAACTACAGATGAGGCAAGCCTAATGATTGTTGAACAGTTTTAGAACTACCAACCTGCAAGTTTGAATGGGACTGCTTGAGGAGGGAGGTCCCAAAACTCTGAAATGAGCAGGGGTGACACCTCTGTACGTGGTAACACTGCCGTGTTGCCATAGTCCACAAACACCACCTGCAGCTGTTCTTCTGGCAGTTCTTCCTGCACCCACACTCTAAACAATGGCAAAAAAATGTTTGAAATTATAAAGTCTAAATTGTTATGTCGACATAAATAGGGGAAAAACAAATCATGCCATACAGTGTACAACTTTTTCGATTTAAAACAGAATGAGCCCTACCTTTGTGCCTGCAGCCAATAGCTACATAGACTTGTGTTTGTAAGCATAATGTATGCAACAGCCAAGGAGAAGAGTCAGAAGAATACAAGACTTCAGACTCCAGTCAACAGTACAATGTAATTAAACTGCAACTAGGCCCTAAATGGCGGTGCTCATGTGCACACAGCTAGGCCCCACACTGGGCACCCGTACCTGTACCAGTCCCCTTCAAACGGTGCTGCCCCAGTTCTCTCTCCTGGTGGGAGGGGCGGGGCAGGGCACAGCTGGTTCAAACCGGTCTGGAGCTCCTGCAGTTCTAACAGGTTGTTCTTTCCCTGAGAACAGGAGAGAAGTACACAAAGTTATGACAGACACAGACCGGATCTGGAGATACTAAGGCCCGATTTAGACTGGAAACGGTATACCGTTTCGAAACGGTACGAAACGTTTCGCCACAGAAAACGGTTCGTCTTTAGACACAGGGGCGGAAGTGTTTCGGGCCGCCCGTGGCGCAGGATGTTTCTGACCCACAGTGACCTATGATGACCTCCCCAAACCGCTTCTACGGTTTGCCTCATTGGCCTTATGATACTTTTGTTTCAGGGCCTTGAACTTCGCCCGAACCTGATTTGGGGTACGTAAATACCCCTCAGCCGCCAGCCCGTCCACAAGCATCTGTATGCCCTCCCTATTACGCGAGGTCTCCAAGCGGGATTGTATAGTTTGATCGGCCCACGAGCTGATCAAGCAGCGGGTCTATTCTTGGGTCCAGACCCTCCCCTGGCCTTCTGCCATCCCCCCAGACATAAAGGATGACGAAAATTCGAGAAATACATGATATAAAATGGCGAAAATGGACACAATCGAATATGGCGCGAATCTAGCAGAAAATGGACGCGCGCGGGCTTATTAGCATGTGATTAGCATATGACACGTGACCTGGTTTATCGTTTCAAGAAACCCTTTGACTTTAGACCTAGCAAAAAGCGTTTCGGGCCCCCCGCTGAAGGGTTCTGAAACGGTCGAAAACCACGATGGAGGTGGTTTTCGGAAACGGTCCGCGAAAACCCAAAACAAACCGTTTTTTCCTCTTTAGACCGGGAACGGTTAACCGTTCCGAAACGTTTCCCTGGCAAAAACCCCTTAAGCGTTTCTAGTCTAAATCGGGCCTAAGCATCTGAAGTCCTGAGTGGGGGATCTCTGGGCCTTGAGTGTCCTACCTTGGCTACATCATGCTTCTAGCAGCCCTCTCACTGGTCAGATCCCGAGAGGGTTGATTACAAGGAGGAGGCCCAATCAGCCCTGCCCTGTAGTACAGGCTACTTAATATATAGACAGACTAGCAGTACTCAGATGATCTGTACCTACCGGTGCATCTTTATTTTATATGATCACCTAGTTTCTGATTGCCCAAGTGGGCTTGCAACCTTTGTGTTTGAGAGAACACAGCAGTCCATACATGTATATGATATTTGCTGCATACTTCAACTATGCAATTGAAATATTGAAGCCATGTGGTGTCAAAATTCTCAAAAAGTGTTAAGACACTGAAGTTAACAAACCTCCAGATTAACTTGACCCCAGAAGTGGCAGCCATCCACCACCTCTGTGACTATGACATTGAGTTCCTCTGGGTAGCTGGCAGCGGGGGGAGGACTGCTGGGTACTTCTTGGTCACCACTGCATTCACACAGCATCTGTGCCATGGTGCTGTAACTGTGATATAACGCATTCTCTTAGAAATATCTGCGTACATGTAGCAGTATTAGATACTTGGTACTTGCTACATCCATCAGTCTGTCAGTCATATTGTACACGATGCATAGTCTGGACATTTTTCTTCTGCTTTCAAGAACAGTACATGTAGATATTTTAGGGAGCATGTAGGTATTTTAGGGAGCTGTTATTTCCCTGTCATAAGCAGCATACACATACCTCATGAACTTTGGTGAGGGTTCCTGCTCTGCAGAAGGACCATTGGGACGGGTAGCAGTTGACATCCCCAAACCGGAATCTGCAAAACGTTCAATCTGTTAGGTTATCTTCTTAAAGTGCATTGTATTCAATTTAACAAGAAAACATTTAACTGGAAAAACTCAAGGCTACTTAGACAGTTAAGACTATTGGTAGTAAACAAATGAGTAATGTGTGAATAATGACAGGTACCTGAGTTCTTTGTAGACATTGCTGCAGCTTGTCTACTGTTTGCGTGTACACCTCTGTCCTGCTCAGCTGCAAACCCAAGTTTCCGAGCTTCCCGAGCTCTCTTCGTCAGCTCTACCTGTATCTGTTGTCCATTGAAGACAGAGTTGTCCAGGACCTCGATGGCTTTGTCCACACTTTTGGCTGATGTGAAGCGAATGAAGGCGTATCTAAGGGGGTGGGGGGCAGCAAAGTGTTGAGTAGCAACTAAAGGATATCAGAAAACTGTCAACTGATTTGTCTAATTTTGTGCTTGAATGAATGAATGGTTTATTATTATTGAATGATGCTGTAAAATGGCAGACATTGAGGCTGAATTGGTGCAGTTTCCAGTCTGTGACAAGAAATAACATGACAAGAGATACAACATACATACAAGTGGACTGGCTAAATGCTTCTGTTGCTTCTGTAAAAAGCAAAATGACACAAATATCTTTGATCTAAGCATGTCAATCTACCCTATGCTAATTCTTCTCCAATAATTCTATGCTAGTTAGAATTGATGAGATATCTGGAACCTACCCATACTCCTGTGCTCCTTGTTTCTTAACTCTAACATCAGTGACACCAAAGGGAGCAAACAAATTCCAAACTTCCTCCTGCAATGAAACAAGGACACACACACACACACACACACACACACACACACACACACACACACACACAAAGTTTTTAATTTTGGTAGTCCTTCATTTAGGATGATCAATATCAGCAAGAATGAAACAGAAATCTATATGTACATCACCTCTGTAGTATCCCTGGTCAGATGAGTCGCAATGACCTCGTGGACTGGATATTGTGATGTAGGGCTCTCTGGATAACACGGGGACCTTGAAATACCTATGAAAATTTTAGACCTTGTAACTTACAAGTAAGCTGACCTAGGAAAGATTAGGAAATTCTCCAGAAAAAGTTCTTTAAGAAACTTACAGGTGACGAAATTCATAATTCATCAATACAGCTATGCTTGATATGCATGTCGCTCAGGCAGTGTCAAACAGCAGAAAAATATATCACCCAACAAGTCTGTGAACTTTAAATGACATTTGCAGCAAAATACAACCTGAGTCAATGGCATTTCTTTCCATCAGCCTTTTCCCAGCAGGCTCCGGTGAAGCACCATTGCTCCTGGCCTTGCCAGGTTGAACACTGATGTCCCTCCCCAGCAGGACTGCTGGTAACTCATTAAGTGCTGCTGTGGCTTCTCTCACAGTGTTGAACCGAACAAATGTCATCCTGCACAACGAAGGAGCAAATGTCAACTGGACATTAAGAACAGTAGGGGTCCATTTGTGGCACTGTATGATCATGATATGAGATCAATCCATCTTTTGACATGTAATGACTGTTTCCAGTAATGATAAATCATACACACCATTCTGAGTGGTGGACTTCCTTCACCTGTCCAGCTGCAGAGAAGAATATTTTGATATCCTGCAGGGAAATAAAAAATGATTAGTAGAACAGGGATGAGATTGAAAAGTGCACTTTCTTCTGGTACAAGTACCATAGGTGTTAAATTTAAATAAAGTCTGTATATCACCCATGGGAGACTTAATTTACATATGGATAGTACTGGTACAGAGTTCTAGTACACACTATTCTTATACTTATTCTGAAAGGTTGCCATAATTTGCCTCTTAATGATTCAGCAACTGATGTATTGATAAAATACCACTGTACAGCAAGCTTTCAGTGCTTCAAAAGCACTAGAAGTTCATCTTCAACATACCAGTACATTTTCTATACTTGAATCTTCATAATATTGTAACAACACAGAAACAAGCTACATGTATTTGTAAGGTCCTGGATTTGAAATGTGCAGGTTCAGCACCTGGTCTGAGCAGTCAAACCTCCTCCTCATACAGACACTGTACAGGCCAAGGTGGTTTGGCTGGAGCTCATGGGGATTGTCACCACTGCCTGCAACACCACACACAAAATGTTTCACCCATAGGTTACCAACATACTCGTTATGTGTCTTACCACACTAAAACAATACATCCAGCACTAAATGACAACAAAAATAGCACCAGTTGTGCAAGTCAGAGTAGATAGCATTTTCACTTTGATTCACCTTTTGATCCCAACTTCCTTTTATAGTTGGAAACAGCATGTAGTTCACTTCAAAATTATACCTGATTATATTACTAGTTAGTATTATTACAACACACAATATCTTATTTTCTGTCTAGTGCAGATGTATATAGCTTGAATACATGTATAGTATATAACAATTTTCTGTAGTATCTGCAGCTGGCCTTGACTGATTAAGATTTCAGGTACCTTAGTACTTGTCACCAGAAAGTGAAACTGTCCTGGCTATTGCCTCATTCAGCATTAGTTACTTCTATTGGATACAGTGCTGCTACTAGTAATGTATTGAGGTAGTAATAGTTATGGGAGAGAGTAAAGTTAACCAAAACAGGAAACATGCTGCTGATAGTAGCATATACTCCATGCTTCCTATCTACATCTATGAGTTTCTGAACAACACCCTCATGGGGCTTCACGTTCAGTTGAGCATACAGGACAATAGTGTCAAGAATTTCAAAAAGGGAAAGCAGAGGTGCACATACTTTTGTGTGTTGGGAAACGTTGCTCCAAAGCAGTGATTAGTCTATGTCTACAGATTTTTCTACGGAGGTACAATTGATGGTTTCTGTTCAGAAACCTGTAATATTACCATTACATGTGCTACCCTTGGCAGATCCTTTCACTGCTGGAGATGCCTTCTGGTCTTTCCTCTTGCCCCTGTTTCTTACTGCATAGTATGCAGCATCAACATAGTTAACTTAGCAAGTTGCTGGCTAAAAATAAGACTTACTAGTAGTCACACATTTGTATAGCCAAAGGGTTTTATCCTAAGGCTCAACAAAACTAGTGTTTCCAGACAAAAGGAAAAGTCCAAGGTTTGAAACAAGGCTGTAACTTAATAAATAACTTATACATAGAGGACACTATAAACATGAACTTGTAATATGTTCAAGTTTTCTAGGTATATTTATATGAGCATTCAATGGCCATACCAAAGGTTTTTACATTTAATTGTGTACTTTTGTAGCTTTGGAAGGTAAAACTTTCAATGAAGAACTTTTAACAATCTAGACATTCATTGGTCAGGCCGGTAGTTTATTGATTGGAAGCATCCCTTTGATCATCCTGCACAGCATATTATTACTTAGATTTAGCAGAACTTGCAGAAGTAATGTGTTGAAAATATCAGAGAAAAATTTTTAGCATAAATACAGACAGTCATCACATAAACAACACACACACACAATCAAATATCACACAGAAAGTAGAGCCTGACTAGATTACAAAATGTTACAAGTAAAATTGTTTTGTTTGTATCTTACTAACACTCACATCGTTTTTTAGGTGGTCCTTTGACATCCTGGGCCTTAATTGCAAAACTGGACATGTAAGAGTCAGGGTCACCAATCCCATAAACTCTTAGCTCCTTCTCTGGCCCAAAGGCTTCGAGTCTGGTAACATGTAAGCAAACAAAAAACCAATGTGAGCAAAACTCATGAAAAAATTCTAGGAGTGTAAAGACTGGCTGAATTATACATATCCGCTTCTAGTATGAATTTCATACATGTATTAAAGCTTTATTTCTTCTTCTGCTTGCAAACTGATGTAAACAAATGTGTTTTGTCTTCTTTTGTTCAGTTTCAATGTTTACCTGCAGACATCAGGCATAGCCTTGACAAAGTCTTCAATCCTGGTAAAACCCAGTCCTCTCCAGTCCAGCACATGTCCAATCAGATTCTGGTAGTCATTACGAAGTCGCTTGACAGGGACGCCCCCTTGCTGAGAGAGCAGTACTGCACGAAGGAATTTCTTCACCTCATCAGGAACCGTCCTCTTCTCCATCCTGAAAAAGGTCAATGCAAACACAAACAACAGCTTTTGTTGGAAGAAACAATCAGAGTAGCTGTACATGTGACGTAATTTGATAACCCCACAAAGAGACACTCAAAGAGCCAATAACATTGACTTTTATAATGCCTTCCCTGCATTCCAATACACACAATTTGACAAATTTACATGACACTTGAAGTTGAAAGGTTAACAAATTGGTGAGAACAATTTCCAGTGGCCATTGGATTTGAATATACAAAATAAAAATTAATGCATTAAATTGAGGTTTAGAACTCCTTGGGTGGACACTTCAAGTTTCATTTAATTTGATGTAAAACTTGTTTAAGAGTCTCCAAAATCGAAAAGTTTCCAGGGAAGTTGACAAGGTTTCTTGATTTGGCCAAGAAGGTTCAAATTACAGTATACTCCTTGCTCCTTTTCTTTGTCCAAACAAGGACCTCGGAGTCCTTGGGGGATTCATGGGGCAAAATGGCCAACTTCCAGATGGCCTTGCCTTGTCCCCCACAACTTCATGGACTAAACAGCCAACGTCATCAACATCTGCTAAGCAGTTTAAGAACTTGTGCCCATAACATGGTCCGAAAACTGTGGGTTTCGCAGGAGGACCAAATTATATGGACAACTCAATCACTGGAAGCAAAAACGTTTGGGACCTTGCTACAGTGTAGAAGAGAAATTTTTCCATAACTGCAGAACATTATATTTCACTTGGTTTGCGGGCGCCAGAGTCTTTCCACGTTTCCCTACGCATAAGCACATTGTCTTTCTATCGCACACACAGCAGCTCAACAGCAACTCACCTGGCGTCAGGTATCGAACGTTCTCTTTCAACAACCCCGAGATTCGCGGTTCCACGCCGGACTTTTAGGAGACCGCTCGTTGTATGACATCAAAGGGCTCATGGCCCATATTAGAACCCTCTTAATAACTGTATTTTAAGAGATTGCCAGGCTTCTTATAAGTATAATAACCTGCAAACAATATTTTGTGCGTCAGATATTTCAGTTAGCCGCTTTTTGAGCTAGTGAAAGATTTCCACACCCTCCTTCGTAGCATTTCTGCATGCTCCCCCATCAAATCTCGCGAGGATAACGAGAGGAGAGTAGATCTCGTGTCCAGGATCATTACTGAAAGCCCTGAGCACGAGAGGACCCTTCCCAGTGTGCACTTTGTCGAACAGGAAGCAAGTCACAAGAATCATGGCTAAGTTGCTCAAACATCTGGGTCTGGGGGTCGGCAAAAAGCCGCCGCCACAGCCTCCCCGTCCCGACTACTACGACGAAAACTCGGCAAAACCTAGAGTTGGACCCAGGTTATCGGGGGGAGACTCAGACGACGACGATTACGCCGACCCCGCGGAGGCACTGCCGGGGAATTACAGCGCCGTGCCCGAAGGAGGGGATGCGCGCAGGAAGTCGTATGGAGGGGACGGTGTTGGTCATCACTCCACGCCTCCGACAAGGACGGGGAGCAGTAAGAGTGACAGTAGTTACTCCGTGTCCAGCTGTGGTAGTGGCAGTGACGGTGCCATGAAAAGGTCGGCAGAAAACATCCACAGCACCACGGAAAACACGCACGTGTCCAAACCTATGAAGGTAAACAAAGCTTCCAGATTTTGTGTTTGTTTATAACGTGCACTATAGTTAAAGGGCGATGTTTGTAAACATGACCATATCAAAGCTTTTAAATCCCCGCAATATGTCCAGAAACTCCATGGCTGTCTGAGCGTCTAGGAGAAAATATGGCCCTATATTCACTTTCACTTTGGTTTGTCAGTATTTAGTATGCAGTGTAAATATGCACAACGCGCCGCTCCCTTTCCAATAAACAAAAAGCAGTCCTACGCCTTTTGAAGTTGACTCCAATATGCTGTGTGAAAGTAAAGGGATAGCAACCCCTTCTGTTGTTCTGTACCCGAAGTGTGCCCATAATGATGGCAAGGATTTGGGATTTGTCTGCATTCATTTGTATCACAACAGACGGCTTTAGGTTGGAGACAGGCATCTGCTGCTGCAGTAGCTGACTAATCAAAGCCAACAGCAGCCAAAGTCTTTGTTAGATAGCAAACACAACTGTGGTGTTGACAGACCTCCCCAAAAGGAATTAAAGGTAGAGCCTGGGTGTCTGATACAAGCCTGCATCCAAACTTTATACTAATGAGTGTTCGTAAAGGTTTAAGCATTTTACTGTATTGTTGTGGACATCAAAAGAATGGTTTTATGTAAGTTCATTTTGTCTAGAAAATCATGACGCAGAGCTGTTTGATCAAACCTTTATCTTGGAAGAAATGCCCGAAGGTGAACCTGCTAAATTTGTGCTTGTCTGGCTAATCCCATAAAGGTTATGGTGGATTATCTTCAAAGGAGGACAGAAGTGTGCATTGTGTAGTCAGGCAGCAGTCTTAATCCAGTGTGTTCCTCCCTCCTCTCATGTGTCCCTCTTATCTCAGCAAGATGTCACTCATCTACAGGGATCTTTTCCTGTATCAGGACCTCCTCCCACAAACATCAGCTCTGTCAACACATGTCAGGCTATTGATGTCTTCACTTGTCAGCGGTTGGTAATTGGTCAAAGATGCCAAAAGTATAATGGGTAAAACTTCTGCTGGTTATCATCTGTGGTTTGACAGTGCACATGATAGTATTAGTACAGAGGCATTAAATGCTTCTTGTTTGGTGCTTCCCATGTTGACCATTTATGTTGAAGAACGTAACATGTTCCTTCCAGGCACAATTGTTTCCTTCCTTGAACAAATTTATGTTTTCTCTTCGTCAAACTGTAGAAATCATACGAGTTCCTTTTGAAGGGTTACATTTCAGTTCAAGACCATAAAAGGTCTGTCCACAAATTTTTTTTCAAACTTTCTCTTCCTGGTACTGGAAGAGATATTTTACCACTTAAGTCATATTGGCATTTTAATCCACTTATCACAAGTAGTAAGCTCATTAGATAAATCTGTTGACTTCTTCTATGTAATTGGTAAAGACCACATTATCCCTAAATCACTAATACCAATCACAATATTGAAATATTATGGACAGAGATATATGTACTAATGTACATCAGACCCTTGCCTACTTTGCTGGGAAAGAATTAAGTGCACTATTCTGTGACCGTCCCTGGCATGCCTTAAGGTTTTAAGATATAAATAACATTACCAGCTTTGTGTCCTAAAGTTCTGGTATTGATAAGCCCAGGATGAAGTTCTCCTGATCTCTGATAGTAGTAAAAGGTTCATTCTTCCTAGGGAGCATCACCTTTGCAAAACTGGCAGCTAGGATTATGATTTCAATCAACAGTATACATATTATACCCATTGCAAAAATTCCTCCATCACGACTACATTTGATATTATATGTACCTTGTAAATGTCAAAAAAACAGATGTGAATTTTTACAATGGAGTGATCTACTTCACTTTTTGCCCCTTGATTTGAATTCAATGTACGAGTATTGCTCCGTGAGTCACTGTAATTTGGGTCGTGAAATGGACCAGTCTGTATAGATTGTCTTTTAGTTTTACCCTCTATCTTTGATTTGATGACCTGGCCAATAATACATCATGATCTACTACTAAATTATTAACTTACCCTTACAGATTCCTTCTGTTGTAATTACTACCCTTCGCAAATTGTATTGAATGAGAGTAACAGAGAGGGCGATTCGTAATTATTCGTAATTGGGAAATGGGGCTGCTGTAACATGAGAGCACTGGAAGGTCAACTATACCGATGGTCCTAAAATAGAATCTTCATTCAGTGTATAGAACATTCGTGATGTATGCTGAATCACAGCGGTTGGCACTGCGCTGCTATCAAACACAAATCGCATGTCATACATTTATATGGGGACCTCCCTGCCTGACCTTCTCATGGCAGTTGCGGTATTTTGATTGGGCTGGCCAGCAAATGTCATGTAAGGATGAATAATGAAATGTTGCAGCTTTTTACCTCAGAATGTAGCTGTTCCTTTTGTACTCTGTTACCTGTTCCTACTACCTCATTCATCCACGATATGTTGGCATAGACAAATCATAGAGCATTCAAGTCCCAAGGCTTTATTGAACAAATGCACAGAGAGACTGGGTGTCTAGGTCTTTCCATTGATTGCATTTGATGGGGATGAATAACAGAATATGCCATTGAGCTTCACATAAAAGCCACAACCCATGTGCACGATGGGGACCCACTCTGCTCTTGGCTGTAAAATGAGAGCCATGAGGGAATAGATAGATTATGGCCAGAAATGATGAGGGAAATCTATGGCACAAAGTAATGAGACTGAAGTCAAGAGAAGAGAATTTGTAATTCCAATTAGTCCAAATTATACTGAGAAAAAGGTCATGGTCGCATTGGTTGCTGTAGATTAGAATGTCCTAAATGATTCAGTTGTGCAGACTTGTAGAGTGTATTTACCATTGTCAACTGTGTGCAACTGCGATTAAAATCTTTTTCAGGATGTATATGTACATGTACCTGTTCCAATCTTTTTATAACATGAAAATTCTGGAAGGATCAAGTCTATTTTTCTAGCACCATTCTTCTTTTTTCCTTAAGACCTTTTCTTGTTATTTTGCCCTCTCAACTCAAAGCACATTATGATTCAAAGGGTCGCTTGTAGACAATTAAGCTCCTATGTAATTCCCTTCCACCCTTATTTATGATTTCTAGTAAACTGACTGCCTAGAAATAAAACCTTGACTGTTTGACTGCCTTCCTTAGGCCCGATTTAGACTAGAAACGCTTAAGGGGTTTTGGCCAGGGAAACGTTTCAGAACGGTTAACCGTTCCCGGTCTAAAGAGGAAAAAACGGTATGTTATGGGTTTTCGCGGACCGTTTCCGAAAACCACCTCCATCGTGGTTTTCGACCGTTTCAGAACCCTTCTGCGGGGGGCCCGAAACGCTTTTTGCTAGGTCTAAGGCCCAATTTAGACTAGAAACGGTATACCGTTTCGAAACGGTACGAAACGATTCGCCACAGAAAACGGTTCGTCTTTAGACACAGAGGCGGAAGCGTTTCGGGCCGCCCGTGGCGCAGGATGTTTCTGACCCACAGTTACCTATGATGACCTCCCCAAGCCACTTCTACGGTTTGCCTCATTGGCCTTACGATACTTGTGTTTCAGGGCCTTGAACTTCGCCCGAACCTGCATTGTGGTGCGTAAATACCCCTCAGCCGCCAGCCCGTCCACAAGCATCTGTATGCCCTCTCTATTACGCGAGGTCTCCAAGCGGGATTGTATAGTTTGATCGGCCCACAAGATGATCAAGCAGCGGGTCTCATCTTGGGTCCAGACCCTCCCCTGGCCTTCTGCCATCCCTCCAGACGTAAAGGATGACGAAAATTCGAGAAATACACGATATAAAATGGCGAAAATGGACACAATCAAATATGGCGCGAATCTACCAGATAATGGACGTGTGCGGGCTTATTAGCATGTGATTAGCATATGACACGTGACCTGGTTTACCGTTTTAAGAAACCCTTTGTCTTTAGACCTAGCAAAAAGCGTTTCGGGCCCCCCGCTGAAGGGTTCTGAAACGGTCGAAAACCACGATGGAGGTGGTTTTCGGAAACGGTCCGCGAAAACCCATAACATACCGTTTTTTCCTCTTTAGACCGGGAACGGTTAACCGTTCTGAAACGTTTCCCTGGCCAAAACCCCTTAAGCGTTTCTAGTCTAAATCGGGCCTAAAGACAAAGGGTTTCTTGAAACGGTAAACCAGGTCACGTGTCATATGCTAATCACATGCTAACGCCATTTTATATCGTGTATTTCTCGAATTTTCGTCATCCTTTTCGTCTGGAGGGATGGCAGAAGGCCAGGGGAGGGTCTGGACCCAAGATGAGACCCGCTGCTTGATCATCTTGTGGGCCGATCAAACTATACAATCCCGCTTGGAGACCTCGCGTAATAGAGAGGGCATACAGATGCTTGTGGACGGGCTGGCGGCTGAGGGGTATTTACGCACCACAATGCAGGTTCGGGCGAAGTTCAAGGCCCTGAAACACAAGTATCGTAAGGCCAATGAGGCAAACCGTAGAAGTGGCTTGGGGAGGTCATCATAGGTAACTGTGGGTCAGAAACATCCTGCGCCACGGGCGGCCCGAAACGCTTCCGCCTCTGTGTCTAAAGACGAACCGTTTTCTGTGGCGAATCGTTTCGTACCGTTTCGAAACGGTATACCGTTTCTAGTCTAAATTGGGCCTTAGTAACTTACTCGTATAGTAGAAACATCTGCATTGCAGTGCATAGTTCTAGAGTTGACTTGCGGGGTCAGACTTATCAAGTATTCTTCCTTTTCATCCTGGGGGGGGGGGGAATGGCAAACTACTAATGTGCAAATACTGATGTAGAACCATGGCAGACATTATAAAATTTACAGTAAATGTGTGTGTAATTGTTTTTGTGCCAAAGGCTGTTTTCCCCATTATCTCCTAGCCTGTCTGCCTCCCATCTGTTGGCTGGTTCTGGTTGGGAGGATGTCTGTCCTACTGAAGATTGGATAAGCTGACTCTGGGGACAGCTGGTGCTGATGAAAAGGGTGGGAAGTGGGAGGGGCAGAGAAAAGATTGACACTTTAATTTGACACTTTGAACCCACAGACACTAGCCTGGGTACCATCCTGGTTAGTTTACGTCCGCTCCTACAGTCGGTGGTAGCGACTGTAGGAGCGGACGTAAACTAACCAGGATGGTACCCAGGCTACACAGACACAGCTAAATGAATCACTCCAGTATAGGACCACTGTCTTGTAGTCAAACAGTGGTCCTTTACTGTTGGCAAACCTCACTGAAGTTTGGTGAATGCACGGAATTGTTGCTCCTATAATTTCCACCCATTTAGGCAACATTCGTGTCTCTCAGAAGCCACTGTTTTTGTGTAACTTATGTACTAGCTGCTACTGGTGCATTTAATTTTGTCAACATTGTCAATATTCTTTCTTTTTACATTCATCTAGAAGCATATAAGTTTGCTTTTAAAGTATGCATGCTCTTCTTTCCGAAGAGATTGTCTACGCCCCCACGTATTTGTCCTTGGAATGGAGCAGTTTCTATGCTAACAGATGCTTTGGAAGCCATAAAACTGATTGGCTTGTAGTTAACGGTCTAGGCTCACTGTGTGTTTCGTCATGGTACCTTAAAGTGTAACCCCAATTCAGTCAAGATTCAGTTGGCTTTGGAAGTTTGAAAGGACCAAAAGCATCCTTTCAAAATTCCATCTTGTAGCTGGCAAACCCCTGCTGATCTGAAACATGTTTCTAACACTTCATTGGTCAAAAGACTCCATTGTCTGACCTGAGTGCCATTGTATAGTGCAACAGATTTGTTCGTGTACTAGGGTGTAGGTCTGGGGGTTATGTTGTGTGGCCAAGGTACTAGCACATATACTATGTTTGTACACTGCCTATAGCCTCCTTGGTGCCAATGGTCTTCATTTTGTAGTCCATAAAGTGCATTTCGAACTGGCTAAGCCCTATAGTTTCATAAAACTTGGTCATAAATGGCTGTAGCGAAAAATATGCACTAAATTCCTGACTTATGATGAGGTGACACCTCATAATTGTAAGGCCATCTATCATTATTTTTATTTTAAATTTATTCCCTTGGCAAGTCATAATTTTCTACTATTTTATGAAATACCGTCAGGTTGACGAGGACCTATGAAATATATGACTTATCGATTGGCTGGAAATGGAATGTTAGAAGAACCAGAACCGATGTACCAGTTTCCATTGGATAGTCTTAATACCTATTGCCTATTGGTTCTTATCTTCATCTTGCCTTTTGGAAAGCGTCTTCAGTTGGCTACTGGAAGGTGACATGTTGTGTCTGTCACTCCCCTTTTACACATTTGCTACGAGACAACCCCCCACCCCCACCCCACCCCATCGATTTGTGTATGGATGATTTTTAGATTGCCATAAGCCATCATTTTTTATCCTGATGTAATGTATAATGGTTTGCCTCAGTACTGTTTACTCAGGTATGAAATTAAACCACGTATTTTGCTCCAAGCCATAACATCTGTGACCTCTTCCAGGCAGACTATAACCTCCTTGCTGAAAATAAGTAATAACGGAAAATTTATATACTGTGTATTGAGTGAGGTACACATATATACTTGCTAAAATACAGTTTGTTCTATTGTACTACACAGCTTAACAACCCTTTTATCACTAAAAGGCCATAATTTTTTTTACATTAGGAATGTCTTACCCACGGGGTGTAGACTGTAGGCTAGAGGTGAAAATTTTGTCCCTGGCACCTTTTTGTCAACAATGTTTGTTTGTATCAGTTTCTATAGTATATTCAAACAATGATTCAACAAAATAAGGCAGATTACAAAGGGCATTGTTTTGCTCTAAAGTGTATTTAATGTGCTTACCGATATCAAAATGTCCCATTGATGTCATCATTTGATGTTTGGGATGAAAAAACAACCCAATACAGGGCAATATGTGGATGAATAGAGATTGATAAACAAGTACTAGCTGATTAGTCTGGTGAAGTGTATTTGGTATGTAATATTCTTACTTTGGTATTTTTAGCTATTTTGCATCGTACAAGAGTACTAAAGGTCATCGATGAAAGAATCCTGTTCAACAAACAAAATTTCTGGTCATCCCTGTAAAATAAAAACATTCTGATCAACCTTCCATACCTCCTTACCATCTCTATGCCCATTTACTAGTACAGGTTTTATCAAAAGACTAGGTAAAGTTGATGATAATTTACAACTTAAATCTTATTTCTTTAATGAAAATATGCCAGGACATTTCCCTTATCGGCCCATGTCATTTCCCCAGGGCTCCCTGGTCCTAACCGTTAATAGCCTGGCTGATTATTTATGACAGAAAATCAGGTCAATTGTCCACTCAATAGCAGATCCACAGGTTTATAATGGACCCATTCAAGGTGTGGTATTCAGATATATGGGAGAAATGCATTTATCATGAACAGCTGTTGTGGTTACGTTTGGAATGTGTTTGCTCTATATTCTGTTATATTACTAGTTACTCTTTTAAGTACTGCATAATATTTCTATGCTACATGTATGGATATGTTATTTGATTTCATTAATACAGTGATATTGAAGCGATAGGCATTATGTGTGACAAGGAGATCTACATTGAAGATCAAGGTCATTGTCAATTATCGACTTTCTAAGAAAAGACTGATCCCTTGTCACAAATATCGATCTTCATTTGTCCAGAAACCTGATATATCAAATCGTCTTTGCTTAAATTTGCTTCTTAACATCCTTGGCACCAACTGTTATGTCATAAATAATGTACAACTACAATCAGCTACCAATCACCATAAGGGATTCAGGTTTAGTTGAGTTTAATAATACAAGCCATCTAGCAAATTGAGCTTTAGGATCCGGATGCAGATTTGTCAAACTTGAGAGTTGGTCTATCATTTCAGCCAATAATTTGAAATGCAAAAGTCTCCAGTTTTAAGATAGAGACAGCAGAAATATTGTTATGGATCCTTTGCCTGTGTCTTGGTTTTTATATAATAAGGTTAGCAGTACCCCCCTCCTCCCCCAACTTTTTGTGACTAAGAGATTCACATAGTTTTATTACAGATTTTTAACAGGACTAGCTCCTGACAATCCTTTTATACTGGTAAATAAACCCTGCTATCATCATACGTTGGTGACCAAAGAGAAAGAAGCAAAAGTTGTTGTAATCTTCCTTTTGGTTCAGATTTTTAATGTATATGTTCATCTGTTCTGTAGCCCATTGTCCTTGATGACTACAGTGACCCTTACGACATCAGAAAGGCAGTTCTTGATAGCAGGGACTACGACGTGCCTCCAGACTGTCGACCACCCAAAGAGGACGACTACAACAACTACTCAGATCCGTACGATGCACAGAAAATTATACAAGGTCAGTTCCTTTTCTTATTTCCTTGCATTTTCCTGTCTACTTTCCTCTCTCTTTCCTATTTTTCAACTCAATTTTTCCTACCATAATCCCATGATTTAGACAACTGTTTTCTGAGTTGAGTTCAGTCACAGTGACGATAGTATGATCAAACAAGCATGCTTATAGTCTATTTTAAGAAGTTGAGGAAGCGGGTATTACTAGGATGTTTTCTGTTCTTTACATCAAGTTCAAGCTCCCACTGCCTTACATTTACCCACGAAATTGAATTTCATGGTGCATGTTTGACTAAGGTGGTCACTGCTGTAGTTCTGAGTCAGACATTATGCCCATGTTTGGCTTGTCCACAGGACTCTAGGAAACAGGCCACAGTCTCATAGCATCCAGGACATTTCCCAGAATCCCCCCCCCCAAAAAAAAACAACAGCTCATATTCAGTTGAATGGGTTGCTGTGACTCAAGCACTACAGCAACATTACTTATATGGGTTGTCTGATTGAAGCACGCATGTAATCAACCTTTAGTACAGTACTTACTTATTACTTAGCACTTTTACTACTTACCTGTACATTTGCTAGATTGGCATGGAGTTACTTGGAATCAAAAATGACTGGAAACCATTTCTAGTCACGTAATCAGTGCTTGGGCATGATTCACTTTCCTGCTGTTGCTACAATAAAAGATATTGGAATTGTAATGCAACCAGGGAGCATATTGATCTACATGGTTTGAAATGGGCTTTATATTGAACTTGTTTGACAGATGACAGACTGATTATATAGCTAGTTGTCCCAAGGAAGAACATAAAAGTTATCTTTACCCTTTAACAGACCAAGGGCAACTTACCATTTATGTGCCACCTGTGTACATGGTAAGCACTTGCCAGTACATGTATCTTATAGCTAAGGCCACACCAATTTAATTTCTTGGTTAACGGATTCGCCGCTTCATTTTTTTCTGATTTGCAAATAAAAATAAAAATTCAGAATCAACTGCAAAATGCTCATATTTTGCCCTGAACAGTTGAAAACAGTCCTTTTCATACTTCTTGTTAAAGTCATTCCATCTTTCAATGCAGTGGTATCATTAAAAGTTCAAAATTCATTGTCAAAATTTTGAACCAGCCTGGTGTGTTGACTTCATGGCAATTTTCGTACAATTTTGGGCCATAATAGGATGTCTAGGCCTGTTCTTATTTTAATTTTTTTTTGCCCGCCCGCTCCATTATTTTTGTAGAAAAATCCGTTAACCAAGAAATTAAATTGGTGTGGCCTAATGACAGAAAATGAGAGGGGAAAGTTGGCATTAACAAAGGCATCAACAAGTAGACCAGCTGCAGGCTTCACTAGTTGAGTGCATTTGTATGATGATATTGTTCTCATATTTCACATTGGCCTCCCCTTGAAAAGTAAGAATTACAAACCCATTTTCCATCCCTGACCTCAGAACTCAGGATACAACAAAGTAAGGAGGCCAAGGAAGAACCACATCGCTCCAGCACACCCGACAGTGACAGCAGCAGTAACGATTCAGCGCTATACGAGGACCCCTACGAGCCCAGCGTTCCGGAGGACACAGACACACACCAGGCCAGGTTAGCCCGGGAACTAGAAAAGGCAAAAGAAACACAGTTGAAACAGCAGCAGCAGCAGCAGCAGCCAGATGAAGACACCAGACCAGCGGAGGATTACGACCAACCGTGGGAGTGGTCCTCCAAAGAGAGGCTATCTCAGGCGTTCGCAGGTATTCTTGGGTATTCAAAGTCAAAAGTCACAGCACATTTTTCTGGACATGGATAAAGGTTTCAAACTGAAGAAAGCCAAGACCAAGAAAGTAAATAAAATGCATCTAAAAATTTCCACTGAAAAAAGTTCTGTAGGTAGAAATTCACAACTATACCACACATTACAATATCTACTAGAAGTGTAGTGTTCAGTAATACTGTACTAGTTTTCAAGTGGCATATATTATCATTCTTTCATACTCTGTTTTGCACTTATTCTCTCATTGTCTTTACTGACTGACTCTGAGAGTCAAATGAGGAGTCTATGTACTTAGTATTCTGTTAAAGTCTCATGAGTGCATTTTCCTTATTCTTAAGTAGGATTAATGTTGGAGTCCTGTGAATCACTTGGATGGTTAACTTGCTTCAGTCACTGTTTTCACTACTCCAGCATCTTTTTCCTACCTCCTTTTCTCACTTTCTCTCTTCTTTCTCTGTGTGTGTTTGTGTGACTGCCATCTCTCCTCCTTTCCACTAAAGTATACAGAAAAAGGTGCTGCCACAGACCAGGTATTCTGTGACTCTCTCTTTTCATTAACACTGCTGGCAACTAAAGAAAACCTTTCTCTTTGATAAAAACTATTTACACTTTCAAAGTTCATGAAGGAAGGCACGTTGCAGAATACTTGTGACATGTAGATATGAAACAAAACAACCAAATAATATATGTATACTTGCCAAATATTACTTGGGGAAAGTGTTAACAATTGTGAACACAAATTTAGGAGGTGTTCTCGAAATTGGACTTAATGTAAATGTCCTTTCTAGTACATGTGCCTTAGGCATTTAGTCATAAAGATAGGAATAAGTTTTTCTATTCAACTATTGCAGTTTATGAACAGGCTCTGTCCTTTAGTCTGTTGATTTGATTCATAATTTGCTGGAGGTGTTTTTCTATCCTTAATGACATGTACGCATGCCTGTGTTGAGCATATCCATGCATATCCAGCTCACGTGCGGTATGTCTATCTTTACTGCCTTACTCGGATTAATATGTCTGAACACCCACACGTCGCTTTCAAATTTTCCAGCAAATTACATCAGGCTGGTTCTACGTAGAAACATGATTATGTCGTGGCGCTGATTACATACGTTTGTATGTCTGCTCAGGGCTGCTGATGAAAAGAAAAATGAGCTCTGGGAGATCGGACAAACACCAGCAATTTTGAATTTCTCACTGAAGTGAAATGTTAACATACTCATATACATAATACACAGATAAAGTCAATTGGTCAATGCAGGCAAGGGTGTATCGCTGTGCAAATGAAATGGATGAAAATTCATGATAAATCACCATTAATCAAATCTAAAAGTTCAGTATAGTTCATATAATGGTTCAATATTTGAGGAAGAGTTCTAAGTTTGTTGTCTAGCTGTAGTGGCTGCGTGATGCCAGTGCCTTTACTCATCTTCTCGTATACACTGATGAATGAAATATTAAATAACATATCAGCATCTTTGACCCAGACTGAACATAAGATATTGAAATCTTACAAAGATCTTACATTAAGATCTCAGCTAGCAAATTAAAAGGAAAGGGCAAGATGTCATCTTTTGTAGTGGTTTTGTTTTGCAGTAGAAGAAAAGAAGTGGTTTTGGAGCATTTGAAGTTTGCAGTTAAAACAATTATGCAGTGCAGTAGAATTGAAAAAAAGTGCATATTGGTTGTGTTATGCTTTCGCAGTAAGAGCCTAACACGAAAACTGCAAAAATATAATCACCGCAAACATTTCACGGTTTACAGTATAAGATCTTGGTAGGAAAATGTCCAGCATGGCTCCTCCTTCAAAACCAAGCGGCCAACCCCTGACAGCCCAGTGTGACTTTGGCAGGTAATTGATAATAGATGGCGCTATGTGCCTGCTACCAGACTTATTTAGTAACATCTAAAAGGTATTGACTTTGCAGGAGTAACAAGATTACCCTGTATAAATCAGATTGAAGAGAAAATGGCCTGCCAGAAATATTGTCTAATGAATCTTGTTTGGACTGACACATTCACAAACGTAGTGTAAAGTTGCAGGATGACTAAATTGATTATCTCTCTCCAAGGGCACTGCAAAGTAAAGGTTACTGCCAGGACATGATTTTGATTTATGCTTCAGTTCTGACATGGGTTTTGACTCTTGCACTCCTCCAATACAATAGCGTACATGCACTTGCTATCCAGCAATTCTTTATTCTCAGTGTGCTTTTGATTTCTTTATCAAGTTTCTGTTAACTGAGATGGTATAATAATCTTTCCCTACAAGCAACTACGGCATATTCTTTTGTTTCCCTTTCCATCTCTGTTATCCTCATCATCCCTCTTTGGAGTCAATGTGATGCGACTGAAACCTCCTGTCGTATACTTTCTTGCTCATGGAGGTAACTGTCTCATATGCTTACTCTTCATCTTCTATCATACATTGTGGAAGTCATGAAGGCATGATCACATACTTCATTCATGGCTTTGTTTGCCTGATGCAAAGAAGCAAACAAATCCTGTAGATTTTAGTGGACAGAAAACAATGGCAAGTCTAAGTACTGCACATTTTATTGATTCAGTCTGAGTAGTCTGAATAACATACAGACTCCAGATTAGGCATTCTACATTCTGGATACAGTACTTGTGATAGAGATGGCTATCTTGGTGAACATTACAAGATATTTGCTTACCATAAATGTGACTTGCATTTCCAGCCCAGTTAGACCAACACCAGCCATCCCCGCCGCCACCCACCCACCCCATCACTTCAACAGACAAGAGGCTGGCTGCAGTACCAGAGAAAACAGCTAGTCCTCTCAATATGCCCGGGGTATTCAGGAAAAAATCTTATGAGGGGCCAGACTCCATTGATCCATCTATACCTCTGGAAGGTCAAAGGTAAAAGGAAAATCATATTTTTTACCATCTTGTCTTTATTGGACTATATGTGAAGATGTGTAACATGCTGTTGATATTTGATGATGCAAAGAACGAAAAGTCATACACGGACTGAGAGAGAGGGTTATAAAGATGATGAAAATTCCTGTAAGAATGTGTGTATACTGTATAGCATTCATCTGTAAAATAATTACTGCCTAACCCCACAGACTGGAATGTGTGATTGAGTTTGTGTGTTCCATTGAGAGTACTCGTGTTTTTGGCACAGGTGGTACCATGGATCCATTAGCAGAGTAGACGCAGAGCATGTGCTACGCTCATGTAAGGAGTGCAGTTTCCTGGTCAGGAACAGTGAAAGCTCCCGAACCAACTTTTCCTTATCCATCAAGTAAGACCAGTTTGTCCCTTCTTTGATATTGTGTGTGTTTTGGGGGCAGGGGATGTTGGACACTTGACCAGAATTCTAGCAGCATCTTGCATTAGCTCCAAGTGGAGGTATAGTGGAAGCAGTAGATATCAATGTTAGATGCACAAACATTCCAACAGTGTATTGGTTTATATGTATCTGACAGAAAGGTATGGCAGCATCAAAGCTTTAAGGCTTTGAAGTACATGTATGCAAGTAATTAGCTAGTGTGCCAGTACAATTTTAGTCTTGTAGTAGTCTTGCTGCCCAATGTGCCTGTAGGCACAGGAGGACCTAAGGTCTAAGGTAAGGTAAGTAGTGTTGTAATAGATGTCATGAATTGTACCTTATAGTTATACCATAGTGTGAAAACTTCATTCATTCCTCTTGTGTGTGTTAACTTTCTGCAGGAGTGCCAAGGGTTTTATGCACATGAAGATAGCACACAACGTGGACCTGAAATACATCTTAGGGGAGTGCAGCAAACCGTTTGACACCGTGCCAGACGTGATCTACCACTACTCCATACACACCCTCAACATTAAGGGGGCTGAACACATGAAACTAAGATATCCCATCACTTGTCAGCTGATGTAGAGTCCACAAAAAATGAAACCAGCTGGTTTTCCTTCTCTGGTTTCTCTACACTACAACCTTTGTATAGTCATGTTTGTATTCAGTTATTAGTATTTCATAATAGTGCTTATTATTACAAAACTATGTACATGTAGAACATAATGGTTTACTTTTTGCTATTGAAAGATTTTACTATTACCGGTATACTTCCAAACACCTCAGTTCAACTTGACTCAACAGGGATACTTGCCAAATACAGTTCACTTCTTTTTGTCTGTGTAATACAAACTTTTTTTTGGGTTTCTGTAACAAATATTTCTGTACCAAGTCATTCAGAGAGTCTGAAGTTGTCATGGATTGATTTTTTTCCATCTCTGTGATTTGTGTTAATGATGTGGTGATTAATAGCAAAGATGCCATCTGATTGGCCCGTTGCTGCTAACCAATCAATAGCAACTATATGGCACCTTCATTATCAATGTCTATGCCCTATATTTTGAGAGTTGATGTGTTGATGATTTTATTCCTGAATATTTTGGGTGCCTCGACTACCTCTGATTTTAAGGAACAAGTGAATGATGATGATGATAATTGTATTTTCAAGTCCCAAGCATTCTCACTGAGGGCTCAAGACTTCACTTATTCCATGTATAAACTGGGAGGTACTGTAACTATGTATGATAAAGTGGACTAATGGCATTCAGACAAATGAAACTAACAGGAGGGATGACAAAAAGATTTATACAAGGTATGTGGCAAGCAATCAGTTCTGTTTTATTCTCCACATTGAACAAATGCTTTGTTCAAGTCTTTTCCCCTAATTTATTGGTTATGCTATTTTGAGTAATTATCATTTCTGCCGCAGGATTCTTTGGATGTACGTCAATGACACAGTTTATAAAGAAGTTAACAGCTCATTCATAGTTTTAACAAACACATTCTGAGTTGATTACCAGCAAATCTTTATCAGATGGTGCTGTCGGAGGGACTCTATTGTAACATATATCAAGAACAATCATGCCATAACCACACCCAATCCAAGGCTGGTAGTGCTACGTGCATGGCCTGTCAACTCACAGTTTTTGCACAGCTTCATACTTCTGCATTATGTAAATGTATTTGGGGCTGAATTTGTAGACAGAGACAAGTAACCTCACCCTGGTGTATGATTAACCTTCTCAGAGTTTTTTCTTCCTAGACAATGAGTTATCTTATTTATACTGTTCAGTGCAATGTTAACATTTTAATTTCAAGCAATGCATTAAGTGAAAATTCTTCACCTTGTTGCATAGTATGATGAATGATGTTTGTCAGCAGTACTGTACATGGTGTATATCGTAGTACAATTTGAAGGATCAATTTCATTTGTTCTTATGTTTCCCCTTGTTGGGAGTGTTCTTTTGCTGTAATCAAGTGAAAATTTATATATGGTGGAGAGATCGAAAATTCTTGAGAGTAGAGGTCTGCATTTTGCACATAACATTTTTTTTATAAAGTTTTTAGCTGTAAATAGTTGTATTGGTTAAATGTAAAGGTCTATTCTAGCAAAACATTAAGACACAAAAATGAGACACATCACATAACAAGTTCATGGTGTAGACAAAAGCAGACATCATGCTTGAACTAACAGAAGAAACAGAAAACACTTTAAAAGATTCAGACCATATTTGCCAAGTAACTTTTCATATTGTGTCAAAAGAACAGTGAATGTCTGAGCTGGACGGTATTGTGCCATTCTTACTTTCACCTTACAATTACAGAAAAAAGTTTTGGATTTTGAAGTTACTAGTACTTCAGTGCACCTCTGCAAAGTTTGTGGTTTTCATCTTTGTTTCTAGATCGGCACTTATATTTTATTCTACGTTTGCTGTCTTCCTGTTTGTAAAGACTGTTGTTGCATCATACTGCTAATCAAAGTATTTATTCTAGACGATATGTGTTACATCATGCATTCTTAATGTTACAACAATGGCTGGATATATTATAGAATTCTTTTGGAGATTATAGGAAATCAGCCAAGCAATGCTAGTGGTGGTGTGTAAACATGGGAAAGGGTGTTTATATTTGATGATGACATCAGAAAAAAAGTTGGTGTGTAATTGCACTGGAGTTGATTCAATAAGATGTGAAGTAGCACGTCAGTGTGTCTGTTCCTAATGTGATATTGGTCAGGAATTTAGACCTTGTTGATTGCTTCTGCATGCATCTTAATATATTCAAATACCCATGAGAGGTATCTTTATTTTGCCATTCTTTATTTGAAATTGTGTAAGACTCAAGACCTGCAGATGGATTAAAAGGAAATCTATGCATACATTGTTAGTCTGTGTGTGTCATTTTATCAGCATCAGCACATTTTGTATGTAATGAAGTTTTGAATGGATAAGATGGTATCAAGTTAAAAGCAGAACATGACTGTACTACTGATTGGGGGACAACAATTTTGATGCAATTGCAATCTCCCTCATATGGAACACACACTGGCTAACAAACCTGTCCTTTGGCCTTGTTACTGAACACCTTCCAGACACTACCTAACACCTGTCCTTGGTGCTGGGACACCACCCACACACTGGCTAATGCCTGTCCTTGGTACTAGACACCATCCACACACAGGTAAACATGTCTGTCCTTGGGTACTGAACATCATCAACACACTGGCTAACACCTGTCCTTGGTACTGAACACCGCCCACACACTGGCTATCTCCTGTCCTTGGGACTGAACACCACACACACATTGACTAACACTTGTCCTTGGTACTGAACACCATCCGCACACTGGCTAACACATGTACTTGGTACTGACTACAATCAACACACTGTCTAACACACCTGTCTTTAGTAGCACCCCCATGAAACTCCTTCCTCTTCGCCCCCGCCGTTCTGCTTCGCCCCCGCCCCGTTCTGCTTCGCCCCCGCAAAAAATCTGCTTCGCCCCCGTCGTTCCTCTACGCCCCCGGCGCAATTCTGCTTTGCCCCCGTCCTTCTGCTTAGCCCCCAATGGCGGCACAGCTCACAGTCGACACGAAAATCGTCTGCAAAATAACAATAAAGGCTGTGCCGCCAAATTTAAAGTAGCCCATGCTCCGGCAAACATTCTGGACCACCTTTCTACCAAGTGGCGTTGCACAAATCCTTCCCATTCAAAAGTTTACCCCTACCTCACGGCCCGTCAGTGGTTCTTACGTTTATAAGTACTGGCGGGAAATTTCACCCACGGCTGTACTTATAAACGCCAGTACTTATAAACGTAAACAGTACAGAACTGCTATAAAACCACACCGATGTAGAACACACATGAAAATACCCTTCGTTTGGTTTGGTTTGGTTTGAAAATGGTCCACATAAGGCGTGATCTTCCACTACCTGTGCTTGCCGCATGGTGGCGCTCACGATACAGTAGAATAGACCAGTTTACCTTTCAGCTATAACAGAGAAGTTGGGATTTCTTCCGTGCTCAGTAGTAGGTAAGTTAGCTATAGTTTCATTGCGAGGAAAACGATACTAGTTTAGGACCTTTGCCGTAAGTAGCATGAAAAGAAAAAAGCCTTGCGGGGTTAAAAGAATTCAAGTTCTTAGGGTATTACTAACTCTTATGAGTATCACATTTATCTATCAGCACTGTAGAATATCTACTTTGCCCAATTTTTGGAGCCGACACAAACAAGTGATGAAATCGGTAACATGTTACTCTCAGTCCTCCACATCAGTTAGCAACAGGGACGAACAAAGCATGGAAACTCAGGAAACTCAAGAGGTTTCCGCAGAGTATTTGAGAGACCCTGTGGTGTTCGAATGCGGATTCTTTGGGCATTTCCTGATAAAGACCATCGCAACGGGGAGGTTTGGCGACATCAAAAAGGCTCAACAGCCACCGGTCTATCGACGGAAAGCGTCCTATGGCCTAGTGAGAGAGACTGGACGGCAGAGTGCGTCTCCCCCCGATCTGGAAGACGTGAGGGACCCGGATGGATATGTGGAGAAAGTGCTAGTAGGTATATCTTGGCAACCGTGCATACATCTGGCAAAGACCATGAGACGTGTCAAAAAGNTACGTTGAACTTAAAATTGAAATTAAAAGAAACTTAGACTTTGAAGATGAACTG